TATGTTTTTGACAGTCTTATGCGCCACGTTGTTTTTTTTCAAGTCCAAAATTATAAAACTTTGTTAATATTAATATTGATATATTTCATTCTTAACGTTATTAAAACGTAAGAATAAAATGAAGAAGTGTTTTTTGTTGTGTAATGAAAAGCAAGAAGTGCTTAACTTTAGTGATGTATCATTTAAAAAGTGTTTTTTAATGATATTGTTTCGACGTCACAAAAATTTTATGTATCATAACCTAAAACTTAATGTGGAATTGTAATAAAACAAAATTTATTTAAAAGATAAATTTTATATTTAAAATGACGTTTCACAGTTAAAAAATATTGTTTTAGTTGAATATAATTAAAAAAATATTGAAAACACTAGTTTGGTAGATTAATTATTATGACATATTATTTTTACTGCTCAATTTTTGGAGTATTTTAAACTCCAAGCAAATACGCGAGCTACTAGTTGAGCACCTTATCTATGGACGCATGCGCAGTAGCATAAAAACGACAAGCAGCTGGGATGCTCTATCTTTATTCGACATGGGGTGTTTATCTTAAGTTTCTCTCGCTTTTATTTATCTTTAATCGTTGGCAGTCACTATTTGCGGGCATTTTTGCATAGGCACCTATATCTCATCATGTAGGGAAAGAATTAATCTTCAATTTGGTATGTATAACATGATAATACATTATGAACGTATATATTTAACGAAATTATACCTGTTTACACCTGGCTGACATTAGGTTGCGGCCAAGTGAGGGATGGCACCTTCAACTTTCTCGGTATCTCAGGTATATTTCTTTCTAATGAAATATATTTTTTAACAATTACAAGTGAACGTTATTGTTCAAAAATAAATAATTAATTACATTTTAATTAAAATTAATTGCGGCCAAATTTGGATGGCCACCTTTGCGGATCTGCATTGGTTTAGTTATAAATATCGATAAAAATTATATTTTATTAATCAAACATATGAACGTATAAATCACGCGGTCGGATCTTAGACTATTATATTCATTCCGAAGAATTAATCTTAGCTATCATTAGACATTAGCTCTTTCGACATTAAATTATTAATCTGAATAGAAGCTTTGTAAGATCTTGCCAGAGCTCTTGCTAAGCTATGCACTTATAATATTATATTAGCCCGCGAGCACTTGCGCTTTGATCATTTTGCTCTCAGTAAATTTAAAACACGCGCCATTTTGTCAAAATTATGCATCGTTCATTCAGTAGCTAAGTTTTGTCCCGCAAGACCTAAAAAGTGCTGCATTTACTGTCAAAATTGTTTATGTAACGAGTATAAGTAGACATACATTATATAATATGTGTACAGGTCGCATAGTTGATAAATATTAATTATTCCTACTTTTTCCAGTTTTTGTTTGAAATGATTTTTATTTGGTTATATTTTTTGCTTACGACTGGCAAATTAATTCATATGATTGTTTATTAAAATAATAAAGATTAATAGTATTGTCTTTGATTAACATATTATATCATATAATATGATTGTTTATTAAAATAATAAAGATTAATGTTGAAAAAGTTTTGAATATATATTTTGTAGAATAAATAAAGTACATATTTAATAAAATAAAAAAGTAGAAATATTACTTGGTAAAACTTGCATTTAATGACATTTATTAATGTGAGCAAAATGCTATACACGCAAGTGCCCGTGTAATTTCTAAAGGCGCGAGTTCTGGCAGATTAAACAAGAACTCATAGAGATAGCATAAGCAAATCAAAGTGCATTGCAAATTACCGCCTTACTCATCTCTACTATCTGTGGTTGTAGATTGCGGAATACAAGCTCCAGCCGATGAGTTGGAGCATATAGTGAAAGTAGCTATAGAATGCTTGAAGGCGCAGCTGATAAGTGATGATGAGGCTAAGAAAATTGATGACGAGGTCACAAAAGCAATGAGCGCTGATACGGTAAATTGTTATGTGAATATATGAGCAGTATGTTATGTAAACGATGTTTCTTATTTCCTTAAAATGTGTTGTATATGCCTTTAAATATAATAACAATATTTTTTTCTCGCATATTCAGTTGCGTCGCAGGGTCGGTGACATAATTACCCTTCTTTATAACATTAAATTAATTTAATGGCACCATTTCAACGAAGTACTTAGTCATGTGTTACTCTCTGTAAATTAGGAGAAACAGTGTAAAAAATAGGTTGTTTATTAATATAATGTATATAAAATTAATGCAAAAATATTATTTATTAGGTTATATAACAATTATTTATTAAATTTCTCTTTACAGAAATCAATCGCTTCCGCAAAGGAGCCTAAGTGAAATAATGGAAAGCTCATACTAAACATAATATAACCTACGAGGGTGAAGGCAACTTAAATACCAGTGATAGAATAAATAATAGCTAGTAAACGTATATTAAGTTATGAAGAAAATGATTTAATTTACTTTCATGATAATTTTAGTACTTTAATTTTTGTTTATTGTTTTAATATCATTCTTTTCTTAAAATAAATTACTTGGCATGATGATCGTTTTTTTAAATTATATTTTATACCACTATAAATTACTTAAATATAACCTTTATAATGTTATACAGCGCCACCTTGTGGATTTTTAAAGTGCCAGATAGATATCCAACCAACTAACATGAATTCATTACTGAATATTACAAGTTTGCATTAGTTTTAAGAGAATTTAATTCGAATCATTACGAATAAAATCAGATGTAAAAAGTAAAAAATTCAAATCTATTCGGTTGTTGTATAAAAAAAGGTGCGTGTACTTATGTACGCGCGTAAGAAGTTATACTTCTTTGGCATTATTAAAAATAGTTTTTGATTGCATGCAAATAATTAATTACAATTAAATAATCAAGACTAAAAGGAGTCATTAAAGTCAATAAAGTTCAGTTTACATTTGAAAAATTAATTAAATAAATATTTATTATTATTCTCTTAATTAAACAAATAAAACACTATTTATCTTTAAAAATTTTTATTTCATTATACTATTTATTTTTAATGACTCTAATGTCTTCATCAGAATTTCGGTTTGTAATTTTAAATTAATCATTACTTGTTGTGATTACGAGCTTCTCCAAAACTACTTGCTTTCTGCAACAAATAAGAGAATATTAATTTAAGCTCTTCCATGCAAAACTTAAAAATTTTTATAATTCATATTATAAATTTTTTTAACACATTTATATTAATATAATTATATAAATGTGTTAATAATATAATTTGTAGCACATGCTACAGACCTGATAGCAACTTTCTTTTATTCTATTTAGAGATAGAGATAATTTAAATATAATACGGTGTCTTCCTTGTAGGTTTTTTGAGTTGTTTGGGGATTCTTGTTGTTCATTACATGATTTTCTTTAACCTTTTTTAATCTACAAAATAATAAATTTTAAGTTATGTTGTCATGTTGCACACCTTTGTTTGGCTTTTTTATATTCAAGTTAGTCAAAACTGATTTAACTTGTATTTTGCTTTATTTTTTTGATATAATTTTTCAAAATATTTTATTTGTAATAACCTGAAATATATAAATAACATCTATTAATTTAATATCATGGTGAGTGGTTGACTCATATTAAGTATTATACCCACTGTCCTTATAAGTGAATGTACTTCTGGCAGGACAGATTTCGGTACTACAAGTGCAATTTTGAGTATTACAATATCTCTAACTACCTTAGGGGAATAAAGTAATGTTTAAGATATGCTATCTTGAAAGTTGAACTTGAACATCACATAATCAATTTATAATTAACATTCCTACCTCGAACCATCACAATCAAATTCATTGAAATCTACTTCAAACATTGTTTGAGAAGGTGATGGTGTGTTCCACCTCATTTTTATTGAGGATAAGATACAACTTTTTTTGTATCAATTTATACTTCCACTGATTCATCAATTTTTTTTCTCTTGTCCTTATATTTGTAGATTAAATTATTTTATAAATAATTATTTTTTTAATAGTATTATTAAAATTTTATTTTTATATTCTCATTTTCTCTTAATATTCTTTAAAACTCAATTATTAATAAGGTTAAATATTTAAAAGTTCTGTAACAAACGCAATAAAAAAAGCAATAATAATGTTATTTATTTTAATCAAAATAATACTATAATAATAGGATATTAACTCAATTGTATTGAAACTCAGGAAGGTTAGCACATTTTTCAAATATTTATAATTTAAAATATTTTTATAAGAAAATAACTAGTATAAATTATTAATTTTAAACAATAATTAAAACTCCTAATTTTTTAAAAGGTAAATTATTTCAATTATTTATTATTAAAATTTTTTTTTTATAATTATTAGCATATTTATTTTCTTTTTACCACTTACTATATAACTGAATTTTTATAATCTAAAATTTCACTTTATTTTTCATACCTAATACAACTTCAAAAGTCCTACTTTCTACTGAACATTTTTAATTACGAGTTAAAAATAACTTTCTCAAAACCTATTTCTTACAACTTTATAGAAATTAGTAGATAGTATGTAAAAATAATCATTTATTAAATAAAGTATGTAATGCATGCAGTCTGTATTAGACATATGTCAGACACTGTCCATTGTCACTTTTTACGACTTGTGAAACCGTGACCGTCAATCGTCAGTTTTTCTTTGCAAAATTGAATCCGCAGTAGCAATTAAACAAATAATTTGTGTTTTTTCCTGCAAATTGTGAAGTGATAAGTGAAATAAGATTTGTTTCAGAGTGAAAACTAAACTTTACTATTCTTATATCATCAACATTATTGAAACTTTATCAAAAACACTATAGATGAGCTCTGTGCTACTTTACAAATATCTAACTGTAAAATGGCAAATTGAATGAATCTATTCATTCATGTTTATAAATAAAAACTAACACATTTTACTACAGCTATGTGGTATTATTGAAAAAAATATATTTTATACATGCTAATTGTAACAAGGTAGAGAAATACGTTTAATTTATTTATATTCAAATAATGCGATGTATGCTCCTGACCATCCTAGAAGGAAAGAAGTTAAAGATGCTATGTATCGAAGTAACTCAAGTCTCGACTTGATATACGCTGAACATCCTTCGGGAAACGGGCTCCGACGTGAGTACGGCAGCCATGGCTCTATTGATGTGATAGGTGGCGCAAACGAACGATATATTCCCACTATGGTGCATAATTACAGCGTAGTATCAAGTGGTGATAAACCTTCTAGTGTATCTAGACTCACAGACAGGTTCTCAGAAATATTAACCACTGATCATGCTGATGGCCCAACTCCAAGAGCCAGTGTAAGCCCCAAACCTCGGCTGAAGCTTAATAAGCTTTGGGGTGGAAATACACCCATAGCAACCCGCCAGTGTAATGATGATACTTCAATGTCAAATATTGCTGAAGCCACAAAACGAAAACAATTTGCACATTATGACTGCCAGTCACTTATGGCCAACTTAAGTTATGCTGCAGAAATACGAGGTGCCTTATTAAGTCGGCGCCGCAATACAACAACTGGGGCTTCAGCTGCATCTCTATTAGCCACACGTGGCCTACCTCCTGGTGAAGATACAGTTCCAGATACAGGAGATGGCCGCTTTAATGAGATGATTGAAAGTTGTCCTTTCTTCAGGAATGAACTAGGAGGTGAGTTTTACTTTGAATACACAAATTAACAATGTAATCTTACCATCTAAAAATTACAAAGTTACATTGTGAATTTATACTGTTACTAGCTGTACCTTGAGTTTTTACTCAGATTAATTTGGTCATAGACTAATGTTGAATGAATTACTCAAAACAAGATGAAGTGAATATTAGAACATAAGGCATATTAAAGTGGTGAATCATTATCAGTTACAACTTGTTTCAATGTAGCTAAATTACTGTCATACAGACTTCAGTTGTCTATGTAACATTGTATAGCTTTTATTCACCCTTACACTAATAACATTTCTTAGTTTATTATATATATGTATTAGGTTTCATAATTTTATCTTGTTAAAGACTATGAATGATCTTTAATATCTATCTATGATAGAATTATGATGAAGAATCTCACTCTACCCATACATTTCTGGTTATCTTAACTTAAAGCAAAACATCTTAATATATAAAACAATGTCAGGTTTGTTCAAACACATATAACTCAGAAGTAAGCAGCAATTATAAAAGTATTAGAAAAAAACCAATACAAAATGTTGTTGTGTATAATGTAACTATCAAATATTTAATATTTATCCCAAAGATATATTAAACTATCCTCTCAAATTAAAGAACTTATATAATAATAGAGGTTTTGAATAGACAAGATATATCCGCAATATTTTTTTTTAATTGAAAAAGATTTACAGCTTATAACTAACTTACTTGCTAAATAAAATACAAATTAAATAAATAAAGTTCTTTTTACGCCATTAAACTGATCTTTACATATAATTAAGTACTTAATAATTAACTGGATTGCAACAATAAAATCATTTTAATCCAAGTATATGTGTCAAAGATAGCAATAAATTAACTAAAAATTAGTTGAGTACTGAGAACACTTAGGGTAGTATAACTTATACACTTATAAAAACATGTTACACTATTTATTCCACTAAGGAACTCAGATGTCAGAGCTCTCCTTCCTGACACCACACTTGAGGCAAACAGGTCAATATCAAATATATTTAGATAAAAGCGTATTTTAGATTTTAATAATGAAAATTTATGTCAATTTTATGGACATATTCAGACATATTATAATAAAGCCTTTTATTTCCAGAAAAGTGATACATAATATACTTGATTAAGGTAAACAATTAGGTGTGGGTATGTAGTGTCATTTTATATTATGTCCGCAATTTGGCATGCCTTTTGGCATAGGCCTCCTCCAGCTCTCTCCATTGTGTTCTATCCCTCTGCGACTCTGGTCCAATAAGGTCCCAAAGTCAGGCTGATGTCGTCTTTCCAGCGTGATTTCGGGCGACCCTGGCGTCTAGTCCCGTCTCTCGGGTACCATAGGGTCACTTGTTTGCTCCATTTGCATCTCAGCATATGACCTGTCCAGCTCCATTTTAAGTGATCTATATGCGTTAGTATATCCTTGACTTTGGTTTTCTGCCTTATCTGCCTATTATTCAGACATATTGGTTGTCAAATATTTATGTGAGCATTCGGAAATTTATTTTGTGTAAACTAACGAAAATATATCAAGCTACTTAATATTTATGTATTGCATTAATTGCACCACATTACTTTCATAAAATCATAAATTAAGTTCTGCTAATTGGTAACACAACATTTATTGCCTGTTAGGCTGTACAAAGTTTGCCTGGTCATAGTATGGCATAAATTCTACAAATTATCCCCATGGGTTGAAACAAGAAGTAGCTGGTTATCTTGGCGTGTAATTAAACTTTCATTTTTATTGTATTACTGATCAGTGAATTAATAGTATTTTGCATGACACTTTTTTTCACTGCATACATAATTGTTGAAAAGCTAGTCATGCATAGAGAATGTTAATCAAGACTTATCAACTCATTAATATCTGTAATATAATATGAAGACTACTTTTAGAAAATATAATAACAGGAAATCATGGTTGAGTTGATACATTGTTTCTTGATACTAATTAAATAGTAAATTTTTAATTGGAATTTGAATACTATTATAATATAAGGCATGGTCCAGATTTGTATTGGTTATCTTTTTCTTGCAATTCAGGTTAATCACCTTCCTGTGCTGTACATTAATTATAAAAAAGGATCAAGATTTTTTCCTTAAATACTACTTTTACAAAAATTATTAATTTCATAATTTTATAAAGAAAAAAATTTGTATGTTTTTTAGTAGCCATATTCTTTTTTATATAAAAATATGGGACTTGCGATTGCATTTGTATTTTTAAGAAGAGATAACAATATTGTTTTGTAAAAAAAATTATTTTTACATAACAATAGAATAATCATTAATTCATGCAGGGGAAGAAGAAAGGTGTGTATCATTGTGCCACCGAACTGCTAGAGGTGGTATACCAGGTCAGTTTGGAGGATGGCATCGTCCTAAAGCTTCCTATGGCTTCTCAGTATTGGAGTTTCCTCCTGGCCACACCCATTGGCGTCAAGGTTGCCCTTTCGCTAAATCAGTATCACCACTTCCTGTTGAAAGTCAAGATCTTGGAGCACTTTATTTTCGAAATTATTTCTACACTCAACGTAAGTATTTATAATCAAATCGATATGTACCATATCAATAACAAATATACAAATATTTTATTAATATCTGTCATATCAGTAATTACAAAATATTTTATTTAATTAAAATTAAATTATAAAATTGTCAGTTACTAATCCAGTTGATGATGCATTTAAAGTTTTCTAATTAGTACAACAAGAATTCAAAGTATTTGAACACATATACATACATATTTCTAATTGTAGCTCATCAGAATTGGTTTGGTATGGATGAGAATCTTGGTCCTATTGCGATATCAATCAAAAAGGAAAGGGTAGAACTACGCCGTGGTGGCGGTGATGCATCAGCACCGGCGTCTCAGCTCGCTTGGCAATACCGACTTATTATACGTACTTCTGAACTTCTAACGTTAAGGGGATCCATACTAGAGGATGCCTTGCCTACAGTCAAACCCAGTAATAATAGTGCCACTTATAATACTAAGGAAGTTTTGGAATATATTGCTCCGGAGCTTCAACTTAATTCTTTAAGGTAAATTGAGGTTTCTGTAAGGTGGTCTTAAATTTAATTTAATTAAATAAATTTGAGGCTTATGTCAGGTTAAGACATATCAAACATGCAAAGCCAAAAAGAAAATTAAGTAATTTTTTTGAAGTTATACTTCTTTTGGTGCGATAGAGAAAAAGTATGAGAGTAAATATTTACGATGCGCGCGCGCACCCTCACAACAAACCGACACCCGCACACCGTCACAAAGAAACCGACACCCTGAAGTTAGTCAACATTTTAAAAATTATGGAGAAATATGTTTTTTGTGATATTTAAATAAACTTTATTTAACTAGATAATGCGTTGTAATAAAACTTTCAATGTATTAAATACCTTTTTTTTTCTATTTTTAGTGTCGTTTTTCTACAAACGTAGAATAAAGCGAAGGATAAAAAAAAATTAAAAAGATTTTTATCCTGTATCGCCAAAGAAGTGTAACTTTTATCGCGTGTACTTAAGTACACGCCCATGTTTTTTTTAATCAGTTAATTATTAATTAACGATAAACATAACTTAGCTTTGTTTGAAGCTCGTTACATTTTAGACAGCAGTGGGGTTATATTTTACTAACATTATTATTATCAGCAATATTAATCAATCCATTTACACTGTTAATTAAATGTATCTTTTAGACTTGGACTAACGAACACAGCAACAGAGGAACAGCTCCTCCGTTTAGACGAACAACGGGTCACAAGACACTATAAAGTCGGTGTTATGTATTGCAAGAGCGGTCAATCGACCGAAGAAGAAATGTACAACAACCAAGAAGCTGGGCCGGCGTTTGTCGAGTTCCTACAAATGTTGGGCCAAACGGTCCGTTTAAAGGATTTCGACAAATACAAAGCCGGTTTAGACAATCGAACAGATTCCACGGGACTCTATTCCGTGTACACTACGTACCAAGGATGCGAAATAATGTTCCACGTCTCAACCATGCTGCCATACACGTCGAATAACAGGCAACAGTTGTTGAGAAAACGGCATATAGGCAACGATATAGTAACAATTGTCTTCCAAGAACCCGGTGCGGCACCGTTCACACCGCGACACATACGATCTCAATTTCAACACGTTTTTGTTGTTGTTCGAGTCATAGACCCGTGTACTGAGAACACTCATTATAGCATAGCTGTAAGTCGTGCGAAAGAAGTGCCTTTATTTGGACCGCCTATTAAGGATGGCGCGGTCTACCCGAAGGGTGATGCGTTTACTGATCTATTACTGAGTAAGGTAAGGAAATTAGAAACTAAATTTTTGTGGTTTTGTTTTTGGTTTACTAACACTTGAATTCGGCTTTTAGACCAGTCAGTCAAGACAATTAATTCATAATAATTCCAAAAGTTTTCAAATTTTGATGTAAGGTCGGGAGTGGTATTAAAACAAACTATAAAATTTTGCAACCTGCTCTGCGGTCCGGAACATTGTTAAAAATAAGTTTTGGTCGTGAAAAAAATTCCAAAAGTTCTGCAAACTTGGGGAAGTTTTCGATATAATATTTCATATCACGTATAAAATTTGCAACCAACCTAATTGTACGGAACATTTTTTGTTATTAAAAATTAATGTTTTTCTTTATTAAACTGAAGGAAAACGTTCCAAAAGTTCTGCAAATTTGACAGATATATCGAAAATAAAATAAATAACAAAAAATGTTCCGTACACTTAGGTTGGTTGCAAATTTTATACGTGATATGAAATATTATATCGAAAACTTCCCCAAGTTTGCAGAACTTGGAATTTTTTTCACGACCATACAGCAAAAATTAATTTAATTGCAATTTTAACAATGTTCCGGACTGCGGACAAGGTTGCAAAATGAGATTTATTGTCGTCCCAATGTACCATTCACTTGAACGAAGTTTGAAAACTTTTGGAATTATTATCAAATTTTCGATTTCGAATGTCTATAATGACTGGCCTATTTCGTATGTCAAAACGTAGTCTCGACTCTGAATCTTACCTTATCTTACTATAATTGCATTAATATAACTATTAAACGCGCATTATATTTAAAAAAAACAGGTCTGGGTCTCTTGTGTGTCTGTTTCGTAATCATTTGTTTTTCTAGTAGGCAAGTAGGCGAACAGCCTTCTGTGCCTAACACACGCCGTCGACTTTTTTTGTCTAAGGTTTCCTCCGATATTTTCCATTCATTTCGTAAATCATTTCCTTTCGTCCGAGCGAGTGCGTAGCCGGGATTCGAACTTCATAACACCCAAGGAGGGGGGCGCGACGCGGGAGGTAAGTAGGCCGGCGCCTGCCTGCGATTCGTAACTCATTCTGCGTATCTGTAACTCACACAGCGGATTTATCGAACTCGCACGGTCGCTCTCAAATCAGTCGTGAAGCAGTCATTTTATGATTTGGCATTCTGAAAAGGTGGACTTGTAGTTTATTAATTATTAGAATGCCAAATCATAAAATGACTGCTTCACGACTGATTTGAGAGTCGCACGCTGAAGCTTATTGGTCTCGGTGCAATGTATTTAGTAATTCATGTTCTAACGTTGTCTATGACTTGTCTTTATTCGTCTCCGTATTAAAATTAATTAAGTTTAGTTAGGAGTATAGTAATAGTTATTATGTATGGCAATTATTTTAAGAAATTAAAAGAAGTGAAACAATATTTTACATTACTTAATATCTAAATTATCAAACAGAACGAAGACTGGAGTATTTTTTTTCATTATTTTATTTATTATTATTTTATATAATACATTATTTTTAGATAATAAACGGTGAGAATGCAGCCATACAATCGCCGAAGTTTAGTACAATGGCGACGCGAACGCGACAAGAGTACCTTAAAGATTTAGCTAAGAATTATGTCACTGCCACCACAGTCGAAACTGGACAGAAATTTTGTAAGTATACAATTCCAAATAGACAGATTTTTAAAGTTATACTTCTTTAGGCGCGTTATGAAAAATTGATGAGAGTGAAATTTAACGATGCGCGCGCACCGTGACACAAAATTAACGGAATGAAGTTGCCCACGGAAGATGCTACGGCATTGGACATAATTTAAAAACAACATTCGAATAATAATAGAATTTATGTTACATGTAATGTAAGAGAATAATAATAAATATTTATTTATTTAATTTTTAAATGTAAACTGCACTTTATTGACTATAATGACTCCTTTTTCAGTCTTTGATTATTTAATTGTAATTAATTATTTGCATAAAAAACTATTTTTAATAATTCCAAAGAAGTATAACTTCGTACATAAGTACACGCACCCTTTTTTATTTACTTGTCGTTAAGCTAGGTACAGTCCTGCTCCGACATTTATAACGTCATTGGTTACGCGTGTTCTTAAATCCGTCTTTTTTAAAAGATAATAATATTTATTTACTCAATTTACAAAGCATTATTTATGTTTCAATGTTTGTGACTTAGTAGTATTAGAAACTAATTAGGTTATTGCTGTTAGAAGTGTTGTTATTAGAGTAAATCCCAATTGGGTAAGTGCAGTTTTATGGTTCCTCTGTCATTGCTTTAAATAATAGAGGATTTTATTTTTACTCTTTATCAACCACTCGCATACAACAATTGAATATAAGCGAAATAATGAAATGTTAATTGCTATGAAACGATTGAATGCAATGTCACTGGAAAGAGTTCCTACGTCTGGCAGGGCTATACTGGGCCCCGGGGCGTAACGATTTAGGATATCGCCTAATAAAACTAAGAAATCCTGAGTGAGCAAAATGTACAGCAGGTTTCTTAAAGGCTTCGATGGCTCTTGTTTCTTTAGTCTTTCCAAGTAGTAAACGTAATGTCATTATACATACCTATTTTACGCTCACCTAACAATATCTCTATATATATACAAAATTCTCGTGTCACAATGTTCGTTACCATACTCCTCCGAAACGGCTCGACCGATTCTTATGAATTTTTTTATGCATATTCAGTAAGACTGAGAATCGGATTCTATCTATATTTCAAACCCCTAAGTGATAAGGGGTGTCCACCTCAAAAAAAAATATTTTTATTTTTTAGACATTTTTTTTTGTTTTTATTTTCTTATAGCATACAAAAAGACATACAACCCTTAATTTTATCTACAAAAGTTGCACCACTATGTGGAACCAGCTACCCACAAGTATTTCCAAACCAATTCCAAAGAATGTGCAAAAAAGCAATGTAGTAGCGAGCCCTCTGGCATTATCCATATCCATGTTCATTAGCGGCTGTATAACTTAACATCAGATAAGCCTCTATAGAAAAAAGAAGAGAATCTCTTAAATAAAAGAACAAGACAGAAGACTTTTATTTATCTACTTCTTAACAATTATTCATATTTTTCACTTTTTATTTTATTTACTGTACACCGTTACTCAAGACTTCATTACTTACACTGGTAATTTTTTTTTTTTGCCTACTAAGTATTTATTACATAACTTTTCTTTCTTTTTTTTTTCGACTGAGGCGCTAGCTGCTGTGATATAGCTGCTGCATAATGCTGAGCCAGGGCTAATTACAGCCACAGCATACACGTATTACACTCTTGAAACTAACCGAATGGGAAAAGGGTTCTTTTTTGTTTTTTTTTTTGATATCTCTAATTTTATTTTTTCTTTGGTTATTGTCATTTTGTGTGTTTATGTGTGTGTGTTTTTATAAATGTTATGTCTATGTATTATCTATCACTGGATTCACAATTAAATACATACAGTGAAATATTGTCGGTAAAATAATTTATAAAATAATTTTTTTCAGCTTTATTTTCTTCACTTCTAATGAAAAGCAACAATTCTAGTAGCAATAGTACAGTTATACCGAAAACTGATGACTGTACCAATGACGTATTAGTGGGAGGGGCTTTGTGCTTTCATGTAAGTAAAAACGTCTCTATTATGAAAAAAATAATTTTATTTAATACAACTTTTATTTAATGACACAAATCTCAAAATTAATAAGCCTAAAAATCTTCACGATTATTTTCAAATTGAACAAAAATCTGATATGATTATTATCTGAATTGATTACTAAAATCTAATAACTTGGTTGTGGGTTCGAATCCCGAAAGTACATTTTTATGTGATCGCAATTAGAAAATCTTATGGGGTAAAGAAACATGAGAAAACCAGAATGTCTTCTAACGATGTCACATGTGTTAGGCACAGAAGATCCATCGCCTGATCTGATACTGCATTGTTTATATTTCAGGTCCAAGTACAAGACGAAGGAGCTGGCGGTTCATCAGTTGATTGTATTCTAGGCATCTCCGCTGACTCTCTAGTCTTTGTTGAAGATCTCTCACGTCAAATTGTACTTGCAGTACCGACGAATACATTACTAGGTAACTAATAACTATATTATATATGTCAGAGGTATGGACCAATTGGGCTTAGGGTCCTTCAAGAAAAGATAGTACCAATTTTTAAAAAGCCGGCAGCGGGCTTGCCAGCCTTCTGGCAGTGTGTGTCCATGGGCGGAGGTATCACTTAGCATCAGGTGAGCCTTCTGCCCGTTTGCCACCTGTACCAAAAAAATGGCGATACTGTCAGCTGTCATTGTCGATGATGTCAAACGTTAAAGTCAAATTAGTTTAAACCCGTTGATAGTTTGTCAAATTGCCAATATTAGATCTATAAAAAAAACAATAGCACCTTGGAGATTTAATACAGTGTCGGAGATTTTATTGACATCTTTTCTCGGTCTATATGAATAAATAAAATTCCGTTTTTTTTAAGTAGCTTGACTAACGCGTTTTTATATTTATTAAAGTTAAAACATAAGCATGCCGTTGTCCAACTTGAATAATTCTTGAACTATTATATTGTAATACTAATAATAATTTACATTATATAAAATCATATTTTCAATCAGGTTGGGTTATAAGTGGCGAATGGACGCGTATATACTACCATCGTGGTGAGAGCGTACGCGTACGTAACAGTACGGACGTGTTGCTGCGGCGTCTGAGTAGCGTCGCGCCCCAACACGCGCATTCGCTCAAAGAAATTACCTTAGAACGGGGTGCTGCTTCGCAACTCGGTTAGTATTTTATTCATTTAAATAATCCTAGTCCTTAGAATTATAACATTAGATGTGAAAAAAATTTGTTTTTTTTATAGTAAGGGAGCGTTCAAGTATTACGTCACGCAATTTTTTAAGATTATTGACCCCTCCCCCCCAATGTAATGCGCCGTAACGTTTTTCTGTACCCAATAGTAAAACGTTTCGTGACCTCCCAGTAACTTTATACCTAAAAGTTACCATTATGTGGTGTAAAGTACTGGAAAGTCAAAAATAATATTAACAATAACGCGTAATTCAATCCTCGCCCCGCATCGTTACGTTTTACAAAAGAACGTTACGTTACGTTACGTTTTTAAAACAATTTTGATTGATTTTCACTTATAATATAACTGCCTTAGAATTTATATTGTTCCTTATTTTTTAAAATATTTGACCTCCTTCATCTTCGTGATTCTAGCAAAGCTATCTTTTGGCATTAGGTTTTGACAATTTACATACAAATTTTGCTAAAAACAAAGAGTCTGCAGAATATGTATAAAAAGTTCACACATGAAAAAATTACTACATATTATTATTAAAAAAATCATTAGACGATTCCACTTTTTTATAGACTTTGCTCACGTAAACTGATAGCAAAGAGTCTTCTTTTTATCTATTCTACTCTTGATTTGAGAACTGTCAAAAAAAATTGACCTTACATAATAGTAATATTTCAGATTTTTGTTAAATATTCTATGAAAGTATAATCACATCTATATAAACCCAGGTTTCCACGTGCAACCAGACGGCCTAGTAACAGCTGTGGAAGGCGGTGGCCCAGCTGCAAGAGCTGGAGTGAGACGAGGTGCCAGACTACTGGAAGTGTGCCGTGCTGCAGTCGTCGCATTACCCCACGACCACTTGGTAGACCTACTTAAGACATCGGATCCTGTTACTGTAAGTATTAAAAAAAACAACCTTTAATTGGTTCCACGGCTGTATACTGTTAGTAAAGTAAAGTAAAAAATCATTTATTCATATAGGTAACTCAATGTACACTTATGAACGTAAGAAATGTATATGAAATGTTTCTAACTTTACATTTAGTGCCAGCCTGATAAACAATAAGGGAGCGTTCAAGTATTACGTAACGAATTTTGGGAGGGGGGGTCCTTTTGTAAAACGTTACGATGCGGGGCGGGGATTGAATTACGCGTTATTGTTAATATTATTTTCTACTTACACCACATAATAGTAACTAAAGAGTCACTAGGTGGTCACGAAACGTTTTACTGTACTTGGGTACTGAAAAACGTTACGGCGAGTTCTGGGGGGGGGTCGTCAATAATCTCCAAAAATTGCGTTACGTAATACTTGAACGCTCCCTAACCTACAAGCTCCCTCATCAGAATGCCAGATCGTACAATGACTGATTCACGACTGATTTGAGCGCGACCGCCGATGCGAAATACGCTGTGAGAGTTCGAAAAGTGAGTTAGAGAATCGCAAGGCAGTCCTCAAATCTAGCGTACGGAGCAGTAGACTCATCCCTCCACAAATTAATGAAACCTTAAATGTTTTTTGGCTCTGCACCAGGTGGGCTGGTCACATTAAGATAATTTAATTTATGAAATCTAATTGTAAATTTGAATAAAAATTCGTCAAATTCGGTTAAGAATTATTATATTTATATTATTATATACTCATACAGTAACAGTCAATAAAAACCTCAACGATATTTACAAATCAATCTTCTTTATATCTAAATATATTAATATTTGAAAGCAAAACATACTAATATGCTTATGTTTTTTTTTAAATATACAGTGTAAACTCTTTATAACGTCAGTCGTTATAACGAAAAACTCTCTATAACGAAAAAAATGATACATTTAGTTGCTTTAACCCAATACCCTATAACGAAACTTCTTTGTAACGAATCAAAATGCTAGCTCCCTTGAAATTCGTTATAAATGCCCGCCTTCCACTGCGATTGGAATGGACCCATTACGGACTCCGCTATACTCGTAAACATGATTTTCATTTCCGTGGAAAACTCGGCCAACTGGCTAAGCCAACATATGTGACTCTTTCAACTCGCTCTTTCTTCGCTTTGGTGGAAGGACATGTATGAAAATCATCGTTACGAGTATAGCGGAGTCCGTAATGGGTCCGTTCCGCTCGCAGTGGAAGGCGGGCAAAAGAGTTTACACTGTATATATATAATTAATACATTACAGTCCAGGGAAGGTTTACATTTAATACTGTAAACCTTCGCTGAACTTTCACAAATATTTCAAGGTCGAAACTAGTCAAATCAGTCCAGCCATTCTCGAGTTTTAGCGAGACAAATGAACAGCAATTGATTGAATTGAACCTATAATATATCTCCAGGTGACGTTAACGTTCGCGTCCAGCGGGCGATGTGAGTGTCAGACTTACGCGGGTGAAGCGTGGGCGCAGCAGCCGGGACGACGACGCCTCACCCACGACCGGCCAGCTTCGCCTCCACGCTCTGACAGCTCCGGATATGGCACGGGTCAGTTAAAATAAAACTGATTATTCAGAGATTATTTCAGTGCTTTTTGCACTGAAGTAATCGTGGTCAGAGAGATATATTTCTCCATAGCTATCTTTACCAAACCGGGTTCCTTGTTATTGATATTTAAAAAAGGTAAAAGGTTTATTTAAGGGATTTTGAAAATAAATAGTTATTGTAATAGGTTTAAAAAAAGAGCGTACCAATTATTAAAAGGCCGGCAACGCACTTGCAAGCCTTCTGGCAATGTGAGTCCATGGGCGACGGTATCACTTAACATTAGGTGACCCTCCTGGCCATTTGCCCCCCTTTTATATAACAAAAAAACTGAGAATTTCTGAAACTAGAAATCTTAAGCGAAAAAATTATGAAACTTATATAATTTTTTCGTTGGCTCCTGTTTGGTTCCCGAATGAACTGAACTGAATAATGATTTCTATTTGATAAACCCATACAGCGAACAGAAATGTGTATTCCAGACCCCATTGACTTAGAAAAGATTTAATGAACTAATTTAGACTTACCTCAATATTACTTAAGTGATGAGGGCGGAAGTAAATTCGTTTCAATTTCGCGGAATGTCGTCGATTACAACTGTTACTAAATTACAGGTGGTTCAGGTCGTAGTGCAGCATCTCCAGGTGGAGAGGCTGTTCGCAGACGATCGCATGATGACGCATCACCAAGGCATCCACGGCGACCGCGTCTCTCTGCTAATACATCGTCTCTCACGGTATGTAATTCTGAATAATATATAATTACTAAATTGTGTCCTTATACACTGCGACATTTTCATCTATATATAGTCCATCAATATTAAATATGGTAAAATTTTAAATAATTTGTGACTTGTAATTAAATTCATAATAACTGTCTCCATTCCCTTTCAGGAGGAGCTAATGCGACTTATGGACGCGGAACTGGGGGACGCAAAAAATACCGCATTGGAAAGAATCGCTTCCAGCGCTGATAGAGTTGGATCAAGTGCTGATAGAGTTGGGTCAAGTGTTGATAGGGTGGGTTCAAGCGCTGATAGAGTTGGATCCAGTGCTGATAGAGTTGGATCGAGTGCCGAAAGAGTTGGATCAAGCACTGATAGAGTTGTATCAAACGCTGAAAGGGTTGGCTCTAGTGGAACAAATGCGCCCACTCCTCAAGGAGCACCTTTACCGTTGCCCGACGCTTCGGCACTTGACTGGGCTGCACTCGTCCACACTGCGACGCGCGCTATGTTGCAGGTGAGAAATTGTTTACTGCAATTTTCATATTTAATGTTTGTTAAATAGTTAATGAAATTTGATTTTTAATAATTCCAGGTTTGATTTCAGTAATACTGATATTTTCAGTCAGGTTCAGATTTTGATCAAATGGCTACGAGTTGGGCCTGAGAGAAGTATTTATAATTTTGAAGAAATAAGAAAATTTACACAATTTAATTCAGTTCTCTTGATTTCTCACCCGCAAATCGATCAGCATTATTTGTATCTTAAGTCTTAATCTTCATTTAATTAAAAAAAGGTTGACATGCTGATTGCAGACTAGGTTTCTTGATTGATGTTCTAAGATACGTGACTACAGTATTTACAAAATACAAATTATCTCTTCAGATATGAAGACCCATACAACTTTATCCGTGCTTTTTTTAGAACTTCTGATCCACCGTCTTGTGCTCTCTGCCCTAGATTGAGACGCTACTGATTGGCCTGACAGACCATATGTATGTATAATTTTGTAATAAATAAAATTAAAATATATAATAATAATTGAAGCATTTCTATCCGCATTACAGGTTCTTGATCAGTTGCAAACCAGTGTTCCAATAGCCTTTAACGGTTATTTAATGTTTTGTAAATTGTTATTTGGGAGAAAACAAGTTATTGCTTACTTTCTTATAAATATTGATGTATTCTATAAAACTGTAGTACATCACTTTGCTCTATTGTCAATACCTTCCGCAGTGTACGCGATTTAGGAATATTTATTTCTATTTTTCACACCTTGGGTATAAAATTACGATAGTGTATATCGTAATTTTATACAGAACACGAATTTTTTTTTAAATTATTCTTTAGCCTATGGTCATCAGGGATAATGTAGAGTTCCAATAGTAAAATAGTTTTTCAAAGCGTTCCTATAGTTTTGGAGCCTATAATGCAAACAAAGAATCATATCTAACTAATTACCTCTATATATTATTAGTGTAGATAAATGTGTTTCAAAACATACATAAATGTATATATATTTTAAGATTATGATTTACTATACTAATATTATTAAAACTTTGTATGCTTGTAACGAATAAACTGAAAAGATTTTGTTCCAAATTCATTCGCAATTAGAATGACGCATTATCTCTGAGTGACACTAAAACTTAACATTTCCAAAAATTAATGTACAGACAAGTGAAAGAACAACGCCTGCTGCGCCAAATACGAGCACAATTACGAGTACGGACTCAAGCGCGTGCGCATGCGGACTCAAAGAGCGCGTCGCAGCACTAGAGGCCGACGCCGTCTGCGCACAGAGACATCAGCATCAGCTGGAGGAAGAGGTAAAGTAATACATTTGATAATGTATAGATCATGTGCATTATGAATGGGTAAACTTTAAAACATATAATTGTTTTAAAATATAGTTTTTCTTTCACCGATATAAAGCTAAATTATCGCAGAGTAACATAGATTTATAACATCACGGTACTGGAGCGAGGCATTAATGAAAACGTTTTAATGACGAGAAACGTTTTGAGAGCGTCTTTTAGATTTGTTGACCGTGTTATCTCGATATCGAACTATAATAGTATTTCATTTTGGAAAGTCTATTTATTACGACTATAGTACATATAGTATATCTTATTAGCTGCGGTGTTACAGATTAGCTGAACTGAATTTATGATGTTATGAAAGTAATACAATGGATACAAAATAAATTGTAATATCACTACACTCTCAACGTTACAGAGTACTTTGATTTGTTGTAGTATCTTAAAAGTAGCTTAAAAATATTTTTATTTTCAGTTTACAAATATATAAAATAAATTTCTGTACGCACGCATAAATATTTGACAACCAAAATATATGCCAATCCTTTTTATGCCTTCATCTAAATCTTGTCAATCAGAAACCGATATTTAAATACGTTCTTTAATGTGAGGGAAACGTACCGACAGGATGGCCATTAAATGTTTGACAGTTATCAAACCAATGTTAATTTACCAATGTTTTTAATAAAGTAAGTTATATTTAACAGTCTATGCGAATCATAACATAAATAGTACGTGTTGGTATAAATTATGAAAATATGTAAAAGTCGAAATTGTTCTGTCTTCATTAGATCAAACGCTTTACTAAATAACTGTAACAATTAGTTTTAAATTTTCGGATGTTTATTTCAGGTACGTCGTCTAAGACGGCATAACGCGCGCTTAAGAGAGGAATCAGCCCGAGCTGTATGGCAGTTGAGGCATTTTACGCAGTGGCTCAAACGGACAGTCGACAAATAGTAATGTTATACGTATACTCGTACGTACGCGTGTACGTACCAGATGTAACGAAATGTACGACAAATCAAGTAATGCAAGCCAGTCTTTTTAGAATTTATTTGGCTTAATTTAAGCTTTTTCCTTATACAATATAAAAATTTTGGCTTTAAATTTTTTAATGTTTTTGAGTAACTGATAAATCAATTAATATTTGATATTATTTACAACTATGCTAGACTTTTGTGTACATTGCAATTTAATACAAATCTCATTTTATAATAAAGTTACCGTCCATGATTTTCGATTAAGTCGATTTCTATAGAATTACTGAAGTACCTTGAATGTAAGATTCCGTTGATAAGTGTTATGGGCCTATAAAATAAGTCAATTAATTGTATTTATTGCGTCTTATGCTTATCTAAAGTTTCACGATAGTTTAATTGATTAGTAGATCCTATTTAATCTATAGTATAGGCTAGCTAATGTTCATCCAGATATTCTCGATTTCTTAATCATAGGTCCGTATTAATACGCATTTATAATTTTTTCAAACATTTTCGACTAAAGCATCACGCTTGTTACAAGTTTAAAGTAATTTTCTAAAATTAATTTAATTTTTATAAAAGAATATGGAATGCAAACTGTCATCTGTCAAATTATGACAGGTATGACGGAATTGATAGATCTATCGAATCATTGTCTATGAAATTGAAGGTTACATTACATAGATTTTGAAATGAGAAATACGGGCCTTTGAAAGGACCAAATGTGATCTACGAAATCGAAATAATCTAATTCATTCATCCAGTCATTATAGAAAAAAATTCTTTTTATTATTTAATGTAATATCAGATCTTAAGATATTAACTCTAACAATCAGTGGTGGAAGTATTATCGACATTTTTCGTTTTTGTAGCGTCATTTACCGCTACTAAATTGAAACCCTTTAAATATTGCACACAATTTTTACTCCATTTCCGTAAGAGACCTCTTTCGAAAGCTGAAAAATGAAACATTCACATTTTTGAAATTGGAATGGAATTCTTTAAAAAAAATCGTATTTGGAATTATCTATTCTGGTTTCGAAAGCGGTCTTACTGCATTATAGACTGTTGCGTAAAATAAGTTAATATGTAAAGTGATACATGGTATTTCCAAAGAATAATTTCTTATGAATGACGAGTATAATCGCGCTGTATCTTATGAATTTTGTGCCTTTCTTCAGCTTCTAGGGAAGCTATTACGTTGGCGACCTTATAACTGTTAATTATAGATTAGTAGTAGGTATTTGTTATTGCCTAAGTTTTCATATACGATGTTCACTATAAGTTAACGGTTCGTTAAACGCCCGGGGAATTCTATAATTACTTTGTCCCATAGACGTCACCTGTAAAATGATTTTAAGATGATCGTATTGGCTGATATGGGCAGACGTTAATAAATATTAAGCCTTTTCGAATGTAGTAGCTTCAATGCGTAGCGCTAAAGATTTTGGAATTAAGTACGAAAACTCAATAAATTCATCAAAAATCAAATCGCTTCAATTTAAGGTGTTTACTCGTAAGCTGTTACTAATGATAGCATATAGAAACCGTGTTTAAAGGGACTACGATTAACGGACCGTTTAAAAGCGGAGGTTAAAATGTGAAGATATTATGTTACGAATTACTGTTATGAATTATAGTGTGTTAAACATATTTGTAATGTCGCTTTGAACTTTTTTGTGACGCACTGTATATTGTTTATGACGCACATTTGTTTTTGGAAAATTTACACGTATATTGTTCGCTTATAAGTTAATAAAAATCTTTTTGACGTTTTTTTATAATAAGTGGCCATAGACTACAGGCGTGTCCTAATTGTACGGTTTATTAGTATTTGCATACGAAAATTTTAGTCTGTGACAATTCAAACAAAGGCCGCATACAGTTAGCATATATTTTATTCGATGTATGCTTCCGTTTAGTTCCAAACACGCCCGCGTGGCGCTGCTCAAGTTTTTCATATAAAAATTTATTAAAATATGAGATTTTTCAGAATTATACGAATATCTGTGGTATATGTATGGTCACGTGACTGTTCATTGCCAAGCGGATCACGTCTGTTGTAAAAATTGTCTAGTGTCCTTTATATTTTCATATGACCAAGTGAAATAGCATATTATATCTTCATTTTCGTTATAACAGTTGTGTAAATATGAATCTCAAGCGTAGTTTAAATTCAATGAGAGCTTTATTAGTTTAAGCCACGAACAACGCGTAATTATACGTTATTATTTATACGTTAATTAAGGTTTACGATAGCGTTTCACGTTTTTCACATAATTTTATTGAAAAGTACAACGATTTTTGCACTTGATAAAAATCCCACCTGTCAGCACTGTTCATGAACAAAATCTTCGTTGGTGTGTAGGTATAATTTATTACCAAAGTGTAGCAATTTACCGCCATATTTTTTTGAGAATTATCTTTATAATTAGCACGTTTCAGCGGTTTTCATATGTTTACTGTTATCTTAGATAAGTATTTTCTACGTTTATTTAAGGACATTCCAGTATAATAAAGTATATACCAAAGAATCGTATTATTTTGCAATCCCTTTTACTTTGAAAAATTAAAAAAATATTCTGTAGCACTACAACCTTTTTAGAGACCCGTGAGCCCAGATTTTATAAAGCTCTAGCTTAAGACGGTAAAGCCGGTTGCAGACCGAAAACTAAGCTATGCCAAGGCTAAACTAAGCTATGCCAAGCATGCTAGGCTAAGCTAAGCTAGAAATAAATAGCGTGCACACCAACAACTAAGCCAAAGCTCAGTGTTTGAGTCAGCACTGGCGAAGTATGTGCGGGGTAGCGGGAGTGGCTTAGCTTAGCTCGTGTAGCTGCGCATCGGCATACACAACTAACTTACCTTTGCATATTTTAGTTAGCTCCCATAGCTTAGTTCGCATAGTTTGCGGTCTGCACACAAGTATGGAAAACTGCGTCAGCTATGCCAGCTAAGCTAAACTAACTTAGCTCTTGGTCTGCAACCCGTATAAGCCTCTGCAAGAATGACCAAACCATGGCCGAGATTTACACACGCAATGCAATGGCTATAAGGCTGCTGCCTCGAATTTTGCGGGCAGCGGGGCGGCGGCGGCTGCGGCGCGGGAGCGGGTGATTGCACCTCTCGTTACCCGCCCTCGCGCCGCTGCCACGCCGCTGTTTTCGAGAACCGGTCCATTTGATTTTACGCATAAGATCCGCCGCCCCGCGCCGCCGCCGCCGCCGCCCCGCTGCCCACAAAATTCGAGGCAGCAGCCTAAAGGATCCCGATGTAGCCATATGTCTCCATAAAAATAAATTAAACCGGCTACCCGAACCCTTAAACGAGAAATTTTTAAAGCAAGCAAGTGGTTGAGCCCTCCTGCCTCGTTTCAACACCGTACGAGCCGTATGAATTCTAAATTTCACCAACATCACCTTGATGGAAGTCTTCCACAGTCCGTTTCACAAGGCATTTTCTTTTGCGAACTGTGGAATCGACTTCCGACGGGGGTCTTCCCTGAGAGATACGACCTCCAACTGTTCAAAATTCGAGTTTACTCTTCCCTCGAAGGCCGGCAACGCACCCACTAAAAATGGGTGTCTATGGGCTGCGATGACTGCCCTTCTTGGGCGTCTCGCAGTCTCGTTTGCCCCCTATTATATAAAAAATATATAGTCAATACAAATGATAAAGGTTGCAACATAGGTATAAGACTGCTATGACATCTTACAAAAGTACATCTACTTTTCTATTACTCTTTCTTTAATCATCTATTTCATTATATAAAACGTTTTATTCTTTACCGTGGAGAGTTTTTAGAGAAGTTGTTAGGACTAATAGCTGAATTTCATCATCGGACGTCAAGGTAGAATACCAAATACCATCCGTATCACTTTGACGTCCGTCCACAACTGAGAGGGGTACCCATTGAAGTATTTCTGAACCAATTCGACTTAGGGTCCTTCAAGAAAAGAGCGTACCAATTCTTAAAAGGCCGGCAACGCACTTGCGAGCCTTCTAGCAATGTGAGTGGCCATGGGCGGAGGCGGCGGCAGTCTCACTTAGCATCAAGTGAGCCACCTGCCCGTTTGCCTCCTATTACCTAAAAAATTTTTAGCGGCGATGATTTTATTAAAACAACTAAAATAAACCTACAATTAATTGAAGCTTAACCACTCGAAATCACGTGTTATAGTAAAATTGATTTCAAAAGACTTCATAAGACTTTAAGCCTTGCCTACTTCAGATTTTATTAATACTGCACTCAGGCGATAAGAGGTTGAATATAAGCAGTCTCTGAAAACTTAGAGTAGTCCAAAAGAAACCATGCGCGTATTGGTGTTTTTACTGATGGTGGCGGCCGCTGTCGGTAAAGTAACTTCATATATTTTTGTGACTAGATCACGGACTCATTATCCGGTCGGAATCAACAATTTTGGACTTCTCAAAATTTATTTGAATTAAAAAAAAATTAAAATGCAATCGGATGTAGTCTCCAAAGCGGTATTACTGTTTTGACTTCTATTCAGGCACAATATTGTCCAAGACACAATATTGTATAAAGGTTTAAAAAATTGTTTTACTTTTTTATATTGCAATTTCACATAGGGTGTTTAAGTTAGATAATTAAGTTGACTAGCCAAAGCGCTGAAGTGAAAAATAATTAAAGCCATTTTGCAGCGGTATCCCGGTCCTCAAACCGAATTGTCGGTGGTAACATTACCACCATTGAATCATACCCATTCATGAGTAACATGCAAACATTGAGTTGGGGCGGTTGGTGGTATCAGGCGTGTGGAGGGTCACTTATTACACCCAAAGTTGTGTTATCGGCTGCGCATTGCTATTAGTGAGTAAACTTATTATAAAAGAAGCACATGTTCGTACTCAGACTTAATGGTTACTTAGGAAAGTAAATAATTTCTTAAATAAGTAACAACTTTAGCACATGACTTACGTATATTAGAAAAATAATTGTATTAATTAATCTTCTCTTAAAAATGTTGATAACCAAATGACAATAGTCAATTTTGTATATTTATAGAATGCATATTCCCAGATAATAACCTACAGATATTACTGAATTAGAGTAGTATTGGTCTAGTTGGTAATATATTCCAAATTCCATCTGCCAAAACCAACCTAGGAGTTCAGGCACCTCTCGTTCGAATTCTTCGCGATTTCAACAAATTGAACACAGCGTATCCAGAGCTGGATATATTCGGTAGTGGGCTGATCGGTTTTAGAGAAAGCATTGTGGGGTGCCTTTCTAGAACCTAATTTCGCTGTTTTTCTGATGATTTTTCTTTTTTTTTCTGCACATAGTTGTTGAAAATTTTATTTTATGTTTATGTTAAAAAATTTATTTTATTTTAATGTGTGCTTGCATTGTCGTGTGTGTTTTAGTTGTGTTTTTTTTTTTTTAATTTCTATTTGATTTTATTACTGAGAAACTTATGCTTGCATTAACTGTCACACATTTTAGATGTGGGATTTTGTGAAATAGTTGGTGGACTTATGACTGTGTGTGATGTTGTGGGCTTTATAACTAAATAAATAAATAAATAAATAGTGGCTTCAGCGTGCGACTCTCATACCCGAGGTCGTAGGTTCGATCCCAGCTGTGCACCAATGGACTTTCTTTCTATGTGCGCATTTAACATTTGCTCGAACGGTGAAGGAAAACATCGTGAGGAAACCGATATGTCATAGACCCAAAAAGTCGATGGCGTGTGTCAGGCACTGGAGGCTGATCACCTACTTGCCTATTACATTTAAAAAATGATCATGAAAGTTGAAACAGATTCAGAAATCTGAGGCCAAGACCTAGAAAGGTTGTAGCGCCACTGATTTATTTATTTTATTTTATGACTAAATTATAAAAAAAACAATATTTCTGTTCATGAGAAATAGCGCCATTTATGTCCGAACCATAATACTTCGTCTTTACAGCGGTGCCTTGCCATCGGCTTGGAGAGTCGTTCTTGGTTCAACATTGTCTTCAAGCGGTGGATACACATTCAAAGTGTCTGAGTTAAAATTGCATGAAAATTATATTGAGGCATTACAACTCAATGACATAGCTATTGTGAAACTACAAGTCGGCGCTATAATGTCTAGTCGAGTAGGCCGAGCACGTATTGCAGGTCCCAGTTATAATCTTCCCGCTGGAACAACGGTCAATGCGGTTGGTTGGGGTACAACGTCGGTAAGAATCTAAATAATTTATAAACTAAAACTGATCCATCAAATATAAGGTAATTAATATATGTTATGCTATAATACATATTACGGTACATTCCGTATTCAATGGAGGCGAAGGCTTATAAAAAGGGTTTTCGTCTGACTATTAAAAAAGATTTAATTTCCAGTTATATAATGATCATTTTTAATTACCATCAAAGCCATTTTGTTCTACATTTGCTAGGGCGTATAAACGAAATCTGTGCGATAGGTACCTAAACTTGCATCTTAAATTATAATAAACATAAAGCTTTGTCTTATATTTCAGTCTGGAGGTAGACCATCGGAGCAGCTGCGGGATGTTGATCTAAAAGTTATCAATCAAAATATTTGCGCTGAAAGGTATGCCGCTCTCAAGAAACAGCCTGGTTTCGAAGACTGGCCTGATATCACAGGAACGATGTTATGTGCCGGTGTTCTTGATGAAGGGGGCAAAGATACATGCCAGGGTGACTCAGGAGGACCGTTATTACACAAAAAAGATATACTTGTCGGGATTACGTCTTGGGGATACACGTGCGCTCACCCACGCTTTCCAGGCGTCAACACTCGAGTTTCTAGTTACACAAACTGGATACGCGCCAACGCTTAATACTGCAAGGTTTGGCACGTAACTTAGAATTTGATGGTGGAAGAGTTCAAAGAAGTCAGCAGCAAGATTTTCTACGAATTCTGCGCTTCTCACAAATAAATAATAGCGAAGTTTTTGGCATATGAAAATGTAATATTTTTAATAAAATAAATAAATTCAACTACTATCTATACTCATTGGTTTTTTTGTACATAAATACCACCTACATCTATGGTTAAGTAACCAAGAGCCTGAAATCGGAGCGAGTACCCTGAAACTGCATCATTATTTTGTCTAAAAGTGCGTGTGTAGACAAAACACGGACCTAAAGTCAGGGGCAATATCGGGGAAGTAGTGGGGAGCACCCTAGATCGGTCCGTAGATCGTTTCGTGTGTAGGCAAATCGTACCCTAATTTTAATATCAACCCTAACTCAGAAATTGGTTCTGATTTCATCCCCACCACCATTGTCCTGATATCGCCACTGAATTTATGGCCATGTGTAGACGCTTTAAGTCATTATGAATTGATATAGTACCAAGAGTTAGGAAATGTATACCACAATAAGCGCTGGTCTACTATAATAAGGTGAGCGTCTAGTTGTTCGAAAAGGTTAAGGGCCTCTGAGGGTACTTTATATTGCTGCATTAATAAAAAATCGCGAGCAATATTTATAATTATAATAATGTAAGTCGATGTTGTGTACACGTTTTATCAAAAATGTATGATGCTTATGAGAATACACGGCAATTTACTTCGGTGGGTCGAATCCTCGTTCGCAATGGAAGACAAGCAGTTTGTCTAAAAGGCTGCCAGTCCCGAATATATTTAGAATTTAAATTTTTATAGTTATTTAAAAGTCTTTTTGAGTATATACATTAAATTATTTTTTGGCACTGTGTAGCGTGAAGTGTTATCAACAGAAACTGTTCAGTGACAAGCCAAAGAAACGCAAAATTATTGTGCAACGCATGACGGTATCTTGCGATCTTTATGTGAGTACGTTGCTTGTGTGTTTTATGGAGTTACAGCACACGGATTTACAACTGGTTGTGACTTTGGAGATAACAATTTTAATTTGTGATTATTATATTACAATTACAATATATAAAAACTAAACTTAACGTAAAAAATAGAACATGGCCGACCATAGGAAATGTAACGCCTGTCTAAAAAGTGTAGCAAACACTCCATCATTAAATTGCTCACGCTGTAAGGCTGAATATCATCATTTTTGCATAAACTATTCACTGCCAGAGTATAATGCGATGTCTGTTGAGCTTAAATCGAAATGGATCTGCTTGCAGTGTCAAAGTCGCGAACGCAAGGGAGGCGATAATTCAAACACCCCTGTCCGTAGTAATAATAGCGTTGCCCTTGAATCACCTCACCTGGAGTTCGTCACACAGCGCACGAAGGCTCGCACTGAAAAAAATTGCTCTTGCATATCGCCCAGCAGTATACGGGATATCATTCGAGAATAATTTTGTGCGTAAATAATATTTATTATTTACGCACAAAATTCACCCTGAAATGTTAGAGGTTCGAAACGCCGTATCTTCCCTCGAGGCGTCGATGACTTACTTTAACGCAGAGCTCGAGAAAGTGAAGGCCGATCAAGCAGAGCAAACTAAGATAATCGGAGTACTAAAATCAGAGACCGAGTCACTAAGAGCTACCAATATATCTTTATCTTCTCGCCTGGCACAAATGGATCAGCATGTGCGTTCTTCAAACGTGGAAATTCAATGTGTCCCTGAAAATAAACAGGAAAATTTAATAAACACTGTAATGCAGCTAGGAAAAGTGATCAAGTGCCCTATTAGCGAGACGCAAATTCACTACTGCTCCCGACTAGCTAAGATTAACAACTCTAGTCCTCGCCCCCGTTCAATACTCGTAAAATTTAATAGCCCACGTCTTCGTGACGAGTTTCTAGCAGCAACTAGTAAATTTAACAAAATCAATCGTGAAGACAAGTTGAATACCAGTCATTTGGGTATCGGTGCTAATAAGAAGGCTGCTATTTATGTAGCAGAACACCTTACCCATGAGAACAAGCGCTTGCACGCAGCTGCCCGTTCTAAAGCCAAAGAACTTGGATATAAATTCGTTTGGGTACGAGACGCGAGGATATACATGCGGAAGGATGAGCAGTCAAGTTATATCTACGTTAAAGACATTGATTTAGTAAATAAGTTGTCATAATGCCGCTAAATTTGACATTGTTTTTTACTAAGGGCATCTTAAACTGTTTTTATCAAAATGTTAGAGGACTAAAAACCAAAACTATTGAACTGTTTAGTAATGTTTTGTGCTGTAATTTTGATGTAATAGTTTTTACAGAGACGTGGTTAAACAGCAGTGTATCGGATAATGAATTATTTGACGATCGTTATGTAGTGTATAGGCGCGATCGGGAAAGCAGTGGTTTTCACAGCAATAAACTAGGGGGTGGGGTATTGATAGCTGTTTCCAAGCGCTTACAGTCATACCGTATTTGTGCCCACGAATCAGACTGTGAGGATATCTGGGTTAAACTGGAACTAGTTAACAGTAAGGGTGAAATCGATCTTTTGTACATATGTGCTGCGTATATTCCCCTCCTGTACAAAAGCATATTTTAAAGCACTTTATTCATAACGCCAATTGTATTATTGAAAATCTCAGCTCTAACATCATCGTTCTTGGTGATTTTAACATGAGTAGCCTACGTTGGAACGGGACACTTAATTCCACGTTAATACCAATAACGACAAATAGTATGTTAAATAACATGGTTATAGACTTTATGTCGTTAAATAATCTTTCACAATTTAATAATTGCCTTAACAGCAAAAACCGAATTCTAGATCTAATAATGAGCTCTATGGTAATCTCTCATGTAAGTGAGAGCAAAGATCCTCTTTCAAGTGTTGACCCTCTGCATCCTCCGATTGAATTTTGTATTGATATTGTTCATAAAGAAAAACTCTATTCCCATGAAGAAGCCAGGTTTCGATTCCATAAAGCAGATTATGAAAAGATTACAAGTGATCTAAATAATATTCCTTGGCACAGTGACCTTTCCTATTGTGCTAGCGTTGACGATATGGTAGCACAGTTCTATAAAATTCTTAGAGTTATAATTTCTAAACATGTTCCAAAATCCAAACCACGTTCTAGTAAATATCCAATATGGTTCTCCGCGGCACTGGTGAAGGTAATCAACGAAAAATTCAAATATCGCACCAAATATCGCAAATACGGAAATCCTCGAGATTTAATTACTTTTGAAATGCTACGGGATAGATGTACAAAACTCCATAACTTAAGCTATAGATTATATTTAAAACGCTTAGAGACTTCATTATCTACGAATCCAAAACTTATATGGAGCTTTATCAAGCAAAAAAGAGGAAGGATAAGCTCTTACCCTGCCCGGATGTCTTTAGGTGATGAAGTAGCTTCGTCGGGGTCAGACATTTGCAATCTTTTCGCATCACATTTTTCGTCGGTATACAACTCGGACAACATATCGATCAGTGGCCAGTCTAGTTCGTCAACCAATTGTTTAACTTCAATATCGGTAACTACTGATCAAGTTTTCAGAGTTTTAAAAAGACTGGACCCTTCGAAAGGTGCTGGTTCCGATGGAATACCTTCTATTTTTGCGATAAAATGTGCTAGTGAACTAGCACTACCACTCAGCATTATTATTAATAGCTCTCTTAACTCTGGAATATTCCCAACGGTTTGGAAAAGTGCTCTTGTAATACCATTGTTCAAAAGTGGTGACACGAGTGCGGTATTAAATTATAGACCTATATCTATACTTCCAACTTTCGCGAAGGTTTTTGAATCTATTTTGTGCCCAATAATATCGAGTCACTTCAAACATTTTATCGCACCTGAACAGCATGGATTCGCTAAGTCACGTTCCACGTCGACTAATTTGGTTTCCTTCGTGGAGGATCTTGCTGAGGGGGTTGATCGTGGGCAATCATATGATGCAATATACACCGATTTCAGCAGGGCCTTCGACAGGGTGAGCCATGTTATGTTGATACACAAACTCTCCTCTATTGGAATTGATGGCATATTTTTAAATTGGTGCAGATCATACCTGTCAAATAGGCAGTCAGTAGTTGTAGTTGGTGGGTACAAATCCAAAGAATTCACTGCCATATCTGGAGTGCCTCAAGGGTCACACTTAGGTCCATTATTCTTTAATATTTTCATTAACGACATCGGAAGCTGCGTTCAAGGGTCTAAATTCTTGATGTTCGCTGATGATTTAAAATTATATAGAACTGTGAACTCACCCGAGGAAGCAATGTCACTGCAAAATGATCTGGACAATTTGATGATGTGGTGTAGTTTAAACGGAATGAATTTGAATCCTGAAAAATGTCATGTTGTTCGATTCAGCAGGAAAAAACGCTCGCCAACCAGAGTCTATCATATTAATCAAGCATTTCTTAAGGAAGTCAGCCATACTCGGGATTTAGGTGTGATTCTGGATGGTAAATTGCGTTTTAACTTGCATGTTGATGATATTACAAATAGGGCTTTTAGGATGTTGGGCTTCGTCCTGCGTAATTGTAAGGAATTTAGGAATCCCAGCACTAATGTTACAATTTACACATGTCTCGTACGTAGTATTCTCGAATATTGCAGTCCTGTGTGGAATCCGCATTACGGTATCTATATCAAGCGCTTGGAGAATGTACAGAAGCGATTTTTATGGCACCTATCCTATGGTTGCAACATGGCTAGGAAACTTCCTAGTTATAACGATCGTCTATTACATTTTCACCTTAAATCACTTCGTCATCGTAGAGAGCTGCTTGATATCATGTTTCTGTATAAACTTATAAATGGAATTTTGGATACCCCTGATATCTTGTCCAGAGTAAACATTTCTGTTCCTAAAAAGCTGCAACGATTTGCAAAGCCTCCTTTCAGAATTAAGTTTGCAAAATCAAATCTGGGTCAGAATGCTCCATTAAATAGATCTTTAAGGAGTTATAATTTAATTCATAGCGTTGAAATTGATGGTGGTATTGGATCGCAATGGGGGGGTCGCGAATTCCCCCAAATAGATCTGTTTTCAAACTCCCCATCAATTTTCAAAAAGTTAGCGGCTCAGCTGATTACTCATTAAGACTATGGGGTTATTCAATTAATTCAATTAATTTTGTAATGTTTTTATTTTATTTTATTTTATCTTAACTTTATTTTTCTTCTTTTAATGTGTTTATAAAACTTTAGAATGTTGTATGCGCCTATAATTGGGGTAGCACTTGGCTTGTGTTTGTGTTACATTGCTTGTATTAGTGTTTACTTTGTTGGTGCATAAATAAATAAATTAGAATGTCGACGTAAACAATACGACCTTATGTTTTTACACGCTATTTGCAACGGTTTAATTGACTGTCCTGACTTATTATTGCTTTTACTTTTTCACGCCCCTTCTTCACACAATACAAGGCAAACTATTTGAAATTCCTCGGTCTAATACAAACTATTTACGTAACTCAGTCATGTATCGTATACCTTCAGATTATAACAGAAATTACCAGCAAATAGATATATTTAATGTGTCTAAAAAATGCTTAAGAAATTATATAAAGACTCAAGTATCCTTTATTAGATAGAATGGCTTTGTTATTCCTCATGGACTATGAATCTTAGAATTTAGAATTTATTATAAATACATATATTCTTTATATTTTTTTTTTGTATTTGTATAGGTGTAACTGTGCTTTGTGTGTGTTTAAATGTGTATTCCGTTTTTGTGTATAGTGTAATTTTTTGAATATTGTATAGTACTCGTAAGTAGCTACAAATAGCTAAAAGTAGCTTAAGCAAATAAATAATTATCTGGAATCTTTTACAGTAACCCTAAATCTGGGATCCCAAAAAGATCAAAAAATTATTTAGCGCATAATACAATCTAGCACGTCTTATAACATCACACCATAGGTATATTCAAATCTCATGGCAAATAGGGAAATAAAAAATTTTTGTGGGCAATACTGGGGAACTTGGATTAAATGATCTTGAATACTGCTTAATTTTTATTGATGTCTTTTGTATTAATATATTTATATGAATTAATATAAATATATGAATATATGTCATAAAAAACCAATCAATCGTAAATTATATATGAATTTATTATATATAATTTAAATCATTCTACTTAATATTTTTCTAACCACAAAGATTCTCATCCTCCGTTGAATTCAATACCTTGTCGAAGAATTTGTAACGGTTTCATTACTGTTAGAATTTCCTTCCAAACTGTATAGAATTCCTTTACTTTATTCACAATCAACTGTAAATTGAAACTGTCCAAGTTGATTTTCTTCTTCCCCCCTCTCCTTTGCATCATTCAGTGCCCTCAGCTACTATTCGCCATATAGTAGTACTACTTAGTAACCCTTATAAAAGAAGTCACAATTAAGTACCGAAGAGAAATATAAAATAAACGAAAAGTATCAAAATCACTCAGTCCAACTTACCGGTCAACTCTTTTCTTCTTCCTTTATTTAACGAAAAACATTGAAAACAATATTTCTCGCTTGAGTTCGAAGTGGCGCTTTTGACATTTTCATAAAAACAACAAATTTAAGGAGTTAATCACAAAATCTCAGCAGCGGTTGACACTTGACAGATCTCGTACTTTGATTTGATGGATGATACTTGACATTACCATATGAAAAATTTTTAATTTTTGTTTTTCACCACGCACTCCATCTCAATAAATAGAAAATATCTGCGGCATATTTTCGTAATTAGCAACACTGACCTCATCTAAACATAAACTATAGAAAACTACTAACGGAGCAATCCAAACAAAAATATTGCAATAAAATATTGCTAAATACTGAGGCGAAATATTTATCATAGAGTATTAACTATTAACCTATGTTTATTCCATTGATAGTTGATACTCTCTGATCTCAATGGATTTTTAAATTGCAACTTTCAGTTACATGTACGATGTACATAAGGAAGGATTAGTAATGTAAATTTAGAATGTTGCCCTTATATCTCTTTCTCACTGAATAGCGATATTGAATTTAAATTTATAGGTATTATTAAATTGACTATCTAGTAAATAATAAATGTTAACAATACAACTTTTGGCCGGAAAACGATTTTCATAAAACAAACATGAAATTAAAACACTACTCCTATTGTTATTGTAAAATGTTTTTTTATCTTGCTGTCAGAGGTTTAGTTTAAATAAATAATTTTCAATATGCCAGGGGGAATAAAATGTGTGAACTGTATAACGATGGACAACGTTGAGGAAGGACAAGTGCCTAAAGAATTTATTGAATATGATTTTGCAGAAGATGCCCTAGACTTTGAGGTCAGTACTTTTAATGGAAATTGCTATTAATTATTTTGAAGTTTTTATATCATCCCATGTACTACTCTATATACGTTTGAATTTTGAAATATGATATTGTGACCTTTTGCTTGCAAGTTAATATGACACTTACTAGGCATTTAACATGGTATCCTTAAATGAATTATTGTTCATTAAGAAACGTTTTTAATAGTTGTTGATTCAATAACTATATTATTTCACTGTTTATAGTTACCAAATAGAGGTTTCAAGTGTATAGAAATTGTACTTACTTTTCAAAAGTCATGCAATACTGAATCATATTTCCTCTTAGAGTATCTCACATTCAATTTAAAAACTTGATATCCCACAAAGTATTACTTTGTGGGATATCAAGGTTTTTAAATTTAAAATTAGTTATTAAGTATACACTACTGATAACAACATTCTAAGATTGATACACATATCCAAAGCAAAATTTAATTTACATGGTTACACTTAAATTATATAGTACTGATCTAAAGAAACGAAACCTGTGTGGATAATTGCTGACATTGAACATTATTTTTTAACTGTAACTTTGCCTATTAAATTGGAAGATATGTGTATATGCATACTTAAACCTTTATTTTTGGTGATATAAGCAAGGCAACCTTGTCTTTGAAGAAATGTGATAAGAAAGCTTTTAACAATAAACTTATGCATTTTTGTATGTGTTAGGTTAGTGCTAGTCATGTACTAACTTGTTCAGAGATGCCTACTTATGCATGCATTGTGCACACTGAATAATATTGTGGTACAGACCAATATATTCATTTTGATTTTTGACACTGACCTAATTCACAAGATTTGCTTTGTCTTTTATCAAGAGAAGTTCTTGCAACCTCCAATGATGCTCATCACATATTTCTCGCAATTTAAAAAACAACTAAGTATCTGTGTGTGTTACCACACCTATAATGTAAATTGGAAACCATGGTTACGAACATAGTATCTATTTTATTTATTTTTGCTCTGAAACATCAATGTTACAGAAAGGATATACATGTGTGAAAATAACATGAGAACTTAAGAAGAATATTTGTTAGTAGTCAAAATATGCATTGGTAATAGTGTCTTTACACACAGATTTCTCTGCGCAGTGCGGAAAGACACTATTACCAATGTGTCTTTACACATTGGTAATAGTGTCATATCATTTGTCTTTACAACAGACCAAATGACAGTCTAAGTGCGGAAAGTGAGTCCACCAACCATTAACCATTAGTGTTTTTACTGTGGCTTTTATGACATAACTGTTGAATTTATAAGACTAGAAATAGAGTCATTGCCACTGAAGAATAGCTTTTAATGTTTATTAATAAGTTGGGACATGTGTGATCATTAAATAATTATTGTATGTAGATTAATATGAATTAAATCCCTCATGCAAGAACTTAATGAATTATTCAGCTGTTGAATTATTACATAAATTGCTTTTAATCTCAAGATATTCAAACAATTTTTCTGCAGATTAGTAAATGATTATTATTGTTTACTCCACTTTTCATTGTTATCTCTTTTATCATGGGGTTGTAATAGATAGCAATCTTTGTGTGTATTTCTTGTATTCTATTTGGTTTTGTATTCTATTTGCATGCAATCAAAGGTAAATTAAACAAAGTAATACACTGAATTATTTAGATTTTTTTGCTTCAATGACTTTCAAATTAATGTTGTGAGGTCTGGGTCAATGCCCAGAAAAACAATAATTGTTTCAGATTAGCCGATTCGCCTAAAATACGAGTAAACAGGGCACATACAATGGTCCCTATTATAGTTTGAAAGCTTACGAGTTACTAAGCATGCAAAGTACACGCAAATACTGTTATACGTTAATACATAGAACAAACATTCTAATACTAAATGCTGAGGGTTACGGACGTATCTGGGGCGCGGGCACCCAATAGCACGATTGTACGGATATTTTCGTGAGCCAAAGATATCATTTGTGGGCAGTGCAATTCCTGGCCTCTTGCGATGACGAACGTCTAAATCGAATCACGATGGTCTGTTGTCGTAATTGTGGTGCGTTTTGTCGCCGTTTATTTTGCCGCCAAAACGATGTTAATGAAGAGATTCCAATTTCACCGGTAATTTGAGATGTTGTTAACAGCACTGTAACTGAAAGCTTCTGACACTCGACTAACTGTATGTATTTTTTAACGCTGTTGTGTTAATGTATGTTGTGGTGGTTACAAGCAATCTCTATTGTAATAACCTACATTTTAATTCTTAAATAGATGACCCCGGTTACCATGACGACCAAAAATACAGATAAAAAATTGTTTAAATTTGTATTATACAATTTTATTACTGTATGAATAAAATATATAGAATAACAAACAGAAAAAAACTTGATTCATTCTGAGTTCTTAGCAATGTTGCTAATTGTGGTAACTTTGTTTACAATAACATTCCTTCATGGCCTAGAAAATAACATGAGTTTGAAATAGAAGTCAATTCAGCGTATTGCCGTAAAAAAATCGAACCCGTAAAAACATTTGTAGACTTTTTTTCGTTCCGCGGTTTAAGCGCAAAACGCATTACCGATTCTTGTAGAGTATTTTATTAGTATATTATTAAAAAATATATATTTAACCGTCATAAATTAAGAATAAGTTTGATTTTCTTATCGCTTCAATACCTAACGTCTTGAAGGTTAATTTTTTCTCACAGCTGACGTCATTTTGTTATGTACATTTTAATCGTTGCAATAAAATTTTAATATTAACACTGCTTAGATAAACTTATTCAAATAGTAAGGAAAATTGTTTATTAATTATATTCCTGTAATAATTAAGGTTGGTAAGAGAACAACATCAAAGTTTGTTCGATTATAGATTCGCAGGGAATCAAATAAAATGAAGGCGTTACTTCGGATTGCGGCGGATAGGCGGTTGGGCTACATAATATGATGAGAATATGTTCTTAATTAATTATAAAGATTTTGTACAAAATTTCTTGATTTGAGGTGAATGACCTAATTTTACAGATGGCGTCGTGGGATGCCAAGTAAAATCAATAAAAATGATAAGCGTTTATGTAATTACTTCAAATATCAATTTAAATATGTAAATGGCCAGTATTTCATTAAGTTTAGTCAGGTACCACGCCTTACGGAGCGTTCACAGTCTGCTAAGATTGTCCCTGGCACAAATTAATTTCTTTGGTCTGATGACCTCATACTTAGGCATGAGGTGTGACTCAGTACCTATCGTTTTGATAACATGGTATGAATGTTAAGATATTAACACCGTCATAGAAAACCCTTAAACATACCACTACTCATAACTACAGTTAAAAAGCCCGCTTGTAATAATTTTTGTTCCAAAAACATTTCTAACTACTAAAGAAACCCTGAAGATTTTAAATGACCGTTATCGTGACTCATTTCAATAAAAAAACATAAAAATCATTGAGAACGAATTGTCAGCTTCGGGTTAGTAATACTTTTTGTACATCACAATAACACAAAAACAGGAGAAAAATAAAATATCAGAAGACAAACCATGTCTCATACAACACAACTTTAAAACTTAATCTAAAATTACATGCAAAGGTAAACAAATTTTTATCGATATAATTTTTACGTACCTACAGAGTATGGACTCTGTAACTTCCAATATCGACAGCGATACCATTTATGCCAGTTCGATGTAGTTTTCTCAATATCCGTAGGTCTGTCGCAGAATTGGAATCGCGCAGAACAAAATAATATTATTGAAATTTGGATCGCTGTCGCTGATCGCTCTATATCCCAAAAGGTTAATCACATCCATATGGAGCTATAAACGCGAGTTCCACTCTAGCTAAATAGTCACGGATACAGAAATACTTTGAGATTTCGAATTTCACCGACTTCTTGAAAAACTATTTGAATATCATTTAGTCCACACCTATGTAAATACGATAGATTATTATCTATTGATATATTATACAGCAATGGCTCAAGATATGGCCCGTTAGTTTATCATGAACGTGTGCGAGGTAATTACTAAAAAACTTTTTTGTCGACGTAGATATGCTGTAAGTTAATTATTTATAGGGGAGCGTGGGGCTAGTTGTAACAATTTTAACAAATAATTGAATATCATGAAGAATATTGGCTAAATTACTACTAAATAAACTTTGATCGATACTCTAACTATTTATCTATGAAGTCGAATCGAAATATTATCAAATCTACAGGTAACTATCTCACAATTATTTTTTTTTAAAAAAGAGAAGTGTTACAACTTACCCCGTGGTTGGGGCTAGTTGTAACAACAAAAATGACACCTTCAATCGTTTAATTTTTTCACATCTTGGATCATTTTATCTCTTAGTTCTACCTTACATCTTACCATCGCAGATTTGTTAACTTTTCCTTCCCCTTTCACTTTTCTTTATCATCTTCTTTTTGCATTTTCTTCATCTTTTCTTCATATTCTACTCTCAAAGCTTCTTTTTCAGGCGTATCAGTCAGAACAGCAGACTTCCTTTTGCGTCTGCAATTTATATTTGTTTTTCGTGGTGGCGCCTTTGGTAATGGTCTAACTTTTGGTGGGAAAAATAGATTTTGACCAGAGCAACTTGGAGTTAGTTTGTTCGCAGTTTCAATGTGGCGTATAATTTGTGTTGTGCTGATATCCACTTCAGGAGCAGAATCTAATAGTTCTGGATGTTTAAGACTCAACTATAAATTCTCACTTTCATTTAGAACATTTTCTGATTGTTCTGTAGGCTCTGGATGATCAGTAACATAAGAGAGCGCAAAGTATCTAATACTCTCGCATAAACTATCTTGGAAAATATCAACATTCAAAGGCCAAATACCAGAAGCTTTAAGTCCACTGATAATGACTCCTTCACTACACTTGGGATGTCATAAATTGTCATCGTTTTTCCTGGATTATTATACATCCATGCAGTCTGTGCTCTGTTCACGTAGTTTTTAAAAGGGCCGTAGACTCCTACATACATAGGTTGAAAATTGTGGGAGCAATGGGAGGAAAACTATAACATGATAACTTTGTTTTCTTTGGCTTTTTCGACAACTGAGCTGACACTACTCACAACTGAGAGACAACATTCACATGTGAGCCATGATTATCGAGCAGTAACAGAACTGGCTCTTTCTTGGTAGGTTTCGGCGTGTTTGATAAAGTTATCTACAAAAATCAAAAAATTCTTTATCAGTCATCCTCCACCCTGAAGAATTGCCAGCTCCAATGCAATCTTCAGGTCCACCGCGAATGAACATTTCTGAGTATTTAAGCCGGGGAAAACTGAACATCGGCCGTCAGTAACTTACAGCAATCTGGGGGCAAATTGTAACATGTTACAACAAACCCCGAGGTTTTGTTACAACTAGCCCCTTGATATAGTTCTTAATATTTATCACGATAAATATTAAATTAACTTAGTAATCTTGAAAACTGTTATACAACATCATAAATAGTTATATTTTAGCATAAAATAAAATACATAAAACTTCAAAGTTACGAAAATAGTAAAACTAACCAAAAATTTACGTTAGTAAAATTATAGGTTTCCTGTCAACAATTAAGCGTTTGCACACACCCACTCACTGAGCCGCCTGGCAGGACCCTGGCTGTGGTAAAGTGGCGTGGCACGTTATAAGTTGAAGATTAGGTAAAAAAAAACGTGAATAAAATTCAAATTCCTATTGAAAAAGGTCTGTTACTATTTACCCCTGTAACAACAAGCCCCGCGCTCCCCTACTAAATATCCGATAATTTACATTTATCAATTTCCTGTAAGGTGGTTATAATTCTTATAAATCAATCTATCGTGTAAATATATGCTGTCATTGGTCAATATTTTGTTCTATTTAAAGTCTTACAGACACTATTTTACTGACTCTCTTTAGTCAGCGCTTTCTTCTTCTTCGTTAAGTGACCAGTGTGGGTCAGGACAACGTCTTCTAAAGTCAGGCACAAATATTGTCTGATCTGTCAAAATTTTCTATGGACATTATTGACAGAACCCGAGATCGTATAGTGACCTGAACAAAGGCAGAATAGAACACTGTTTTTTTTAGTACGTGATTATGTTCTGCCTATATTCCATAGAATCGAACTGCCTTCATCGTAGATTTAAATAAATCAGTGGCGCTACAATTTTTTTGTTCTGGGCATCAGATTTCTGTACCTATGTCCTATCTGTTTCATTATCATTTGTTAATCTAATCGGCAAGTAGGTGATCAGCCTCCTGTGCCTGACACACGCCGACTTTTTGTGACTAAGGCAAGCCGGTTTCCTCACGATGTTTTCCTTCACCGTTCGAGCTAATGTTAAAAGCACACATATAAAGAAAATCCATTGGTGCACAGCCGGGGATCGAACCTACGACCTCAGGGATGAGAGTCGCGACTGGAAGACCACTTGGTCAACACTGCTCGTCAATTAATCGATTATATAAACACATTTTCAGATTCAGTTGGCTGAAGCGCAAGAAGTTAAGTTTAGTCAAACGTTAATAGAACCTCTCTCAATTGGATCTCATATCGTGTGTACGGGGACGCCTTCAGAAGATTTACCATGGTAGGTAAGACATATACATATATCTTATTACTTTTATATTTCCGCATATCATTTCGCTTACCGTTTCCTCCACCAGAACTTGATATTTAGTCCATTGAAATGTTACATGGACTAAACATTTTTTAGAGGACGCAATTTTATTTATGGGCATGTAGGGGGTAAATACCAGCGTAAACCCAAGTTTGTGGGGTTGGTGCCCTTGTCCCCCGTCCGCCATCTTGGTAAAAGGGGTGAAAACACGTTTTTGGCTATATCTTCTAAACTATCCATCGAAAAAAATACTCAGTTTGGCCCTAAAATTGTAACATTTCAATGGGCAGGATTTATATGAAAGATGGAAGGAAGAAAGAATTGTATGAAACGATAAACTCAACACAGTCCGTTTCAAAAGGCATTTTCTTTTGCGAACTAGCGAACTGTGAAATCGACTCCCGGTGGGGTTCTTCCCTGAGAGATACGACCTCCAACTATTCTAAACTCGAGTATACTCCTCCGTCAAAGGCCGGCAACGCACCCACTAAAAATGGGTGTCTATGGGCTGCGACTGCCCTTTTTGGACGTCCCGCAGGCTTTATTATAAAAAAAACTCCATCTTAAAAATTATTTTAGTCCCCTGAACATCAAAATTTTATTTATAAAAAATAAATTTAATAATAAATCTTCACTCGTGCGCAGCCTGGTCAGGAAATAATATGCAGTAGGAGACAGGAAAAAGTATACTTTATCTGTATGATATTCAAACTCAAATTTACATTTACTACTAGTTCGCAAGTCAAGGGCGTAGAGCGGGTAAGAAGAACTGGCAAGAAACTTTCCGCCACTCTTTTTAATCGCGAAGTATACAAATTGTTTGAACTGGAGCAATTCAATGATCAATCCCAAGGATTAGGATCATTTAAGTATTCCTCAAATTTATAAAAAGCTTTATTGATTAATTATCGTTTAACGAGGGCTTTGAATTAATTTAGTGATAATTCTCTAATTTCGCTTGGGAGTTTGTTGTAAAAACGAATACAATTTCCATATAAGGAGTGGTTTATCTTTTGGAGCCTGGTCGGTCGTACACTCAGATTAGTTCTATTTCGCGTATACCTAAGTATATCCAACCGAACGGTACCGTAATAATGTGGCATTATTGTAACCTACCAATGCTTACGATGTTAAATTCTTTAATATAATGTTGTATACAAATTGTACCGAAACTATTGTATGTGTTTAGTTGAAATAAGCGCCATATCAATATAACTTGCCCTTCCGTGTTGAGTTCAAATCTTTATATCTTATAAACATTCTTTCACTACTTCAGACTTAGTACATTTATGTATCAGCGAATAAGTAGAGTTAAATATTTCCTTATTTTGTTTGTTTAGTGAATTAACGATTTTCAACATGTTTATGGGTTAAAGAGGGTGGGTAACTTAGGCACAAAATCGTTATACAAAGGTCACGCAACCAATAAACGACACGCTATTGCTTCATAAAATCCTTCGATCCTACTTTTTATTTCACTTATTTTTTCCTACTACAAATTGAAGTTTTACTATGTTCCTATGACTACAACATGGTATAGTAGAAGAATGCTTTAAGATCTGATGTAATTTAAAAAATATATGAAATAGTGTAGTATATATTTGTCTAATATAACGATTGTTATATGTATTTGTAGCGACACAATCTTTGGCTATAAATAAGTACGATGACGTCATTTCCTGAATCGCACTATCAAAGTATTTCCCGCTGAGTATATATCGACGAGCAACAAAGGCCTTTGGTCCTTATTCACCGTCATATAAAAACCGTCATCAACGGTGAAGGCGAAGTCCCTTACAAAGTTCTTTTCTCACTTCAGTGAACTTCCGTCCTGTCCTTCAGGCTAGTGACCACCCAACGGCCCAACACGAGCTCCGAGTCTCGCAGGAGACGCGGCAGCTCTCTTTGAAGCACCTTCCTTCCCCCACATCTTTTTACTCTCTAAATAAGAATTAACATAAAGATATAAATCACAAATTCGCATAAGTATTAATAAGAAATTACTCAAAGCACAAACATATCTACCCCGTGTAGGCTTTTCTATACAAGCAAAATAATGAAAATTAAAACGAAGAGTAGGTACTACACTCATCTGTGATCTGTCCTTTTCATCACAGCGTAATACAATTTAAAGGAAAGAGACAAGAGACTAGATAAAACAGTGTAAAACTGTTTGAGTTTTTAATTTTTATGAATAGATACTCTATGGAATCTATGTTTATTTTCAAGGTTTGCTATAAACATCGGTTGTGGAGACGCCGATAAAGGGGGTGGAGATATTGCCGTCCATTTCAATGTCCGGTTACCCCAGTGTTATGTTGTTAGAAACACGAGGCGCCATGAGAAATGGGGAGCCGAGGAGACTACAGCCTACAGGTATGGGACAGTTCAAGTATTAGGTAAACACTATAGGGGGGAGAGGGGGTCTTTGATTTTCTTATTTGGTGATTACGTCAACAGTAATTATTAACTTTTTTACACATATTACCCATACATTGACTATGCTTGAAACGAAATGCATTTTCGAGGATTCCTACGTAAAATTGATACGTTTATGTACTATTATTTTTGAGAGCTTTGCTTAATTTTACTGACAAGAGGAGGGGGGGGGGATAAATTGCTTGTCTCGACGACGTTTGGCTTCAACGTAGGAGCAAGTGCTAAGAATAAAACAAAAGAATAATTGTATAAGAACAGACTCGAACGCACGACCTAAGGGTTGAACTCGCACTCGTAAGCCACTAGGCCAACACTGTGCCCGTAAAAAATGTTTAAAAAATTTGAAATTTGAGGCAAATTTGGGCAGAATTCCTTTAATTGGTCTAAAAGTGTCGAATAGAATTTATTTAAAGTATAATTTTATTTGAACCAAAATATAATTTACCATTCGTTTTTATGTGTCTATTTCAGTAAATTTCCCTTCAAAATTGACACACTATTCACAGTAGAGGTGCTCGTAGATGAGAAAGAAACGTTATGGGCGGTGAACGGCATTCATTACTGTAGCTATGCGCATCGAAATCCCAGTCCCCTTATTGCCAACTGGGTGCAAGTAACCGGAGTAAGAGATGCGACACTGAATGTACAAAAGACTGAATTGTATCCGACCCTGGCACCGCCTTTGTTTGAGGTAATTGACTTGTCTCTTTCTTTAAGCATGCTATAGATAAAGACAGCAAAAAAATTCATACAAATTTTAATGTACTGGGCAAAATAGGTCAGCAAAGTTTTAAATTAAAACAGACTCAATAATAGAAACAGACAGAAATATTATTGTCTCCTTTTAACTCTTTGAGTTGTTTAAGAGTACTTTACTTGTCTGTTCTCTCACATTTCTTTCTCTCTCTGTCAAATTACGTTTACGCTGTCGTGAAAAGAGACAGCTGCAATTAACAATTCCTTTTATGACATTTAAATGCTTCGTTTTAAGTTCCATTATTGTATCAACAAACCCCAAACTGGGACATGGGGAAATATGAGGCACATCTTTAACCACTTTCTTAAAAACAAAATTTTTACGAACAATTTTAAGCAAAATCTTCTCTCTCCTATCCTATGCTGAAACGGAAAGTATTTGTATGTGTAACAGTAGTTTAATTTTTTTTTTTTTTTTTTTTTTAAGACAATTCACACCAATTGACCGAGTCCCATGCTAAGCTGGTGAAGCTTGTGTTATGGGTACTAGGCAACGGATATACATACATATTATACATAGATAGACATATAAATATATATTTAAACACCCAAGACCTAAGCACAACACCAAATGCTCATCACATCGATGTTCGTCTCAGCCGGGGATCGAACCCGGGACCCTTGGATTCGCAGTCATGGGTACTAACCACTAGACCAATGAGTCGTCAAACATGACATTATAAGTGTTATGTAGAATTTATTACATCAAGTAATTAATATGTCAAATGGAAAAAAAACTAGCTGCCCACGACACAGTGAAACCTAGTGCACTTTCTCTAATCATCCTTTTTTATTATGTGTAATAAAACGTTTTGACGTGATGACATAAAGCATGACTTATTGTCCCGTTACGCTCATTGTACGCTTGCCGCACCTATCTCTCTTCCTCGCGATTGGCCTATGCGTCCGAGGATTCACTCCTTCTTTGTTTCTATAAAAAATAGTGATAATTCATAAAAAAATTATTGATAAAAGTATGCAATCATTTCATCAATGTTTTGTTATGCCTTTACAGACAACTTTTTTCTTTTCTTTTACCGATAAATGTACCATTGTATGGCACAAACAGCTACTGTGTAACCAATAGCGATAGCGTAACGTGTATCTATGTATGGATGTAGTGTGGACCAGTTTCCGCAGTTAGACGCCCATTTGGTGCAGCCAGCTTCTTCCTGAAGCTCAGAAATTTTCTGGGCTTCGCAGAACGACGGAAAGACCTCACTGCTCCGAGGATTTATGTTTGTTCTGAAGCCATAGCCACTCATTCCAGGTAGCTGACTGATTCCTGACTGTCTGTCGCGCCTAGGACATGGAGATGTTGTCCCTATCATTCTTATATAAAGTTAACGATGATCTAGTTGATAAAAGGCCCTGGGAATAGTGCTAGACAGGCTACTTCTAATTAATTGCGAAAATTGTAAAAAAAAAGTTTTGTTTGGGATTTGCTATTTTAAGAGAGTACCGAGACATTTATAATGCCGAGTTTTTCTCTTTCTCTCTTTCCATACAATACTCTGTATTATTTGCCGATGAACGTAGGGTTGCCTACCGATTTAAATTTAATGAAATGAACAATGTAATTATTTACGACATTAGAAACCTCAAAAATAACAGTATTTTCCAATATTTTATTGATGTTATTATACATATAAACCTTCCTCTCAATCACTCTATCTATTTAAAAACCGCATTAAAATCCGTTGCGTAGTTTAAAAGATTTAAGCATACATAGGGATATCGGGACAGAGCAAGCGACTTTGTTTTATACTATGTAAGTGATACTCTATGGAATCTATGTTTATTTTCCAGGTTTGCTATAAACATCGGTTGTGGAGACGCCGATAAAGTTGGTGGAGATATTGCCGTCCATTTCAATGTTCGTTTACCCCAGTGTTATGTTGTTAGAAATACGAGGCGCCATGAGAAATGGGGAGCTGAGGAGACTACAGCCTACAGGTATGGGGCCGTTCAAGTGTTACGTAAGCACTATAGGGTGGTCTTTGATTTTCTTATTTGGTGATTACGTCAACAGTAATTATTTACTTTTTTACACATATTATCCACACATTGTCTATGCTTGAAACGAAATGCATTTTCGAGGATTCCTACGTAAAATTGATACGTTTATGTACTATTATTTTTGATAGGAGATTTGCTTAATTTTACTGACAAGAGGAGGGGGGATAAATTGCTTGTCTCGACGACGTTTGGCTTCAACGTAGGAGCAAGTGCTAAGAATAAAACAAAAGAATAATTGTATAAGAACAGACTCGAACGCACGACCTAAGGGTTGAACTCGCACTCGTAAGCCACTAGGCCAACACTGTGCCCGTAAAAAATGTTTAAAAAAAATTGGAAATTTGAGGCAAATTTGGGTAGAATTCCTTTAAACCAACTAAAAGTGTCGAATAGAATTTATTTAAAGTATAATTTTATTTGAACCAAAATATAATTTACCATTCGTTTTTATGTGTCTATTTCAGTAAATTTCCCTTCAAAATTGACACACTATTCACAGTAGAGGTGCTCGTAGATGAGAAAGAAACGTTATGGGCGGTGAATGGCATTCATTACTGTAGCTATGCACATCGAAATCCCAGTCCCCTTATTGCCAACTGGGTGCAAGTAACCGGAGTAAGAGATGCGACACTGAATGTACAAAAGACTGAATTGTATCCGACCCTGGCACCGCCTTTGTTTGAGGTAATTGACATGTCTCTTTCTTTAAGCATGCTATAGATAAAGACAGCAAAAAAATTCATACAAATTTTAATGTACTGGGCAAAATAGGTCAGGAAGTCAGCAAAGTTTTAAATTAAAACAGACTCAATAATAGAAACAGACAGAAATATTATTGTCTCCTTTTAACTCTTTGAGTTGTTTAAGAGTACTTTACTTGTCTGTTCTCTCACATTTCTTTCTCTCTCTGTCATATTACGTTTACGCTGTCGTGAAAAGAGACAGCTGCAATTAACAATTCCTTTTATGACGTTTAAATGCTTCGTTTTAAGTTCCATTATTGTATCAACAAACCCCAAACTGGGACATGGGGAAATATGAGGCACATCTTTAACCACTTTCTTAAAAACAAAATTTTTACGAACAATTTTAAGCAAAATCTTCTCCTATCCTATGCTGAAACGGAAAGTATTTGTATGTGTAACAGTAGTTTAATTTTTTTTTTTTTTTTTTTTAAGACAATTCACACCAATTGACCGAGTCCCATGCTAAGCTGGTGAAGCTTGTGTTATGGGTACTAGGCAACGGATATACATACATATTATACATAGATAGACATATAAATATATATTTAAACACCCAAGACCTAAGCACAACACCAAATGCTCATCACATCGATGTTCGTCTCAGCCGGGGATCGAACCCGGGACCCTTGGATTCGCAGTCATGGGTACTAACCACTAGACCAATGAGTCGTCAAACATGACATTATAAGTGTTATGTAGAATTTATTACATCAAGTAATTAATATGTCAAATGGAAAAAAAACTAGCTGCCCACGACACAGTGAAACCTAGTGCACTTTCTCTAATCATCCTTTTTTATTATGTGTAATAAAACGTTTTGACGTGATGACATAAAGCATGACTTATTGTCCCGTTACGCTCATTGTACGCTTGCGCCGCACCTATCTCTCTTCCTCGCGATTGGCCTATGCGTCCGAGGATTCACTCCTTCTTTGTTTCTATAAAAAATAGTGATAATTCATAAAAAATTTATTGATAAAAGTATGCAATCATTTCATCAATGTTTTGTTATGCCTTTACAGACAACTTTTTTCTTTTCTTTTACCGATAAATGTACCATTGTATGGCACAAACAGCTACTGTGTAACCAATAGCGATAGCGTAACGTGTATCTATGTATGTATGTAGTGTGGACCAGTTAGACGCCCATTTGGTGCAGCCAGCTTCTTCCTGAAGCTCAGAAATTTTCTGGGCTTCGCAGAACGACGGAAAGACCTCACTGCTCCGAGGATTTATGTTTGTTCTGAAGCCATAGCCACTCATTCCAGGTAGCTGACTGATTCCTGACTGTCTGTCGCGCCTAGGACATGGAGATGTTGTCCCTATCATTCTTATATAAAGTTAACGATGATCTAGTTGATAAAAGGCCCTGGGACTAGTGCTAGACAGGCTACTTCTAATTAATTTGCGATATTTGTAAAACAAAAAAAGGTGTTGTTTGATGATTTGCTATTTTAAAAGAGTACCGAGAGTTTTATAAGCCGGCTTTTTCTCTTTCTCTCTTTCCTACATCCTCTGTGTTCTTTGCCGATGAGTAGGGATGCCTACCGATTCAAATTTAATGAAATGATCATTGAAACGTTCGGAGTGAACTAGATCAAAATTTTTTAAATCTAATATATTTTCAGGTACCACAGAGAGACTGTATAAATGGGCCAATAAAGAATGGGGAACCCAGTTGGCATTCGAATATTATAGCGACTTTACCAATTGGAATACCTGAAGAACATCAACTGGTTATACATGGAAGGTAAGTTTTTGTTAGAAGAACTGGCTTTTGCCTCATTTCTATGGCCGTATATAAAGTTAGTACCGATGTTACCATGGTTTGGAATTGGAAATAATATCTGATTAAAGACGTGGTACGAAGAATCAATATTTACTATATAATATGTAATATAACTTTTAGGTCTGGGCCTCAGATTTCTGTGTCTCTTTCGTAATCATTATTTTTTTCTAATAGGCAAGTAGTTGATCACTGTTCAGCCTTTTGGGTTTGAGCTAGTTACACTTAGATTTTTGAGTTTAAGCGAGTGTTAAATGCAGTCCATTAATCCACAGCCGAGGTTCGAACCTATAACCTTAGAGATGAGTTCCACATATCGCCAAAACTGCTCGTATAGTATAAGAAACTGGTTTCATTTTCGAATTAAAGTGTACACGCGTTTCAGACTCCGTCCAATGCTTCACTCGTTCGCATTGGACCTAATGGACATTGCGCGTGAGTGGCCGCGTCCTAACATCCTCTTACACGTGAACCTGCGCGCGCACGTTGACTCGCAACTCGATCGACAATTGGTCGTTCTCAACGCTTGGCTCGGCGATTGGGGTGCTGAGAGACGACAACGGACTGCTAGACTTATACCTGGTTCTAAGGTATAATATTATTTTGATTTCATCTTATTTATAAAATTCTTGTGTCACAATGTTCGTTCCCATACTCCCCTGAAACGGCTCGACCGATTCTTTATGCATTTTCAGTAAGTCTGAGAATCGGCTACTATCTATCTTTCACACCCCTAAGTGATTTTTTTTTTTTTTTAGACAAAATTTTTGTTTTTATTTGTTTATGATACAACATTCAAAGGTCCGTACAAAATCTAATTTTCACCCCTCTACGATCAAACCCTATTTTTTATTATAGTAGATATGTAGTATTTTTATTGAACAAAAAAATCCAAGAATTGATGACGGCTAATTAAATCTGAGTTCTGTCTGCTATATACCATTTTAAGGCTCAAAAATCTGAAGGATTGTGTAGTTTTTTTTTAAATCTTATTAGAATTGTATAACCTCGACTTCCGTGATTCCACAACTGAACGTTATTTAAAGCAGTTTTTGCCGCGCACCACCACTACGTGGAACCAGCTGCCCACTATAGTATTTCCGAATCAATTTGACTCAGGGTCCTTCAAGAAAAGAGCGTACCAATTCCTAATGTTCTCTGACATAGAGAGTGTCCAATATCATTTAACATTAGATGATCCTACCAGGGGTACGGGTAGAAGGAAGTTCTATAAAAAAAACGGTGGTTTAAATCCCCTTAAACCCTAGCTTGAAATTATTACTAAATTTAATTTATTTCAGTCAACTGTCCGCATAGTGAGGGGCTCGTGTGAGTGGATGATATATGCGGATGATCTACTAATCGGGGAATTCGAGTACCGGGCGTCTCCTGTTGGCGTGACAGCTATGCGTCTACGTGGCGATCTATATCCGGATCAAATTTACATAGCACCGACAAGTAACTCACCTGTTTACGAAAAACCAACCTCAATATAAATAAAAATTGACAATTATTCAATGATAAATGGACAAGGGAGCGTTCATGTATTACCCCACGCGGTTTTTGGAGGTTATTGACCCCCCCATGTAACGCGCCGTAACGTTTTTCTGTTCCCAAAACCCCGAAAAATTCGTACGAAATACTTAAACGCTCTCCAATATCTAAAAATACGGCAAAAGTATTTAAATTTTTGATGATTTAAATAGGCCAAACGGATGGAAAAATGTATGAATCTAAAAATCCTTCACGACAATCTCGAATAAATTAAGCTTTTAAAAATATCTGTAATTTGACATTATATTATGAAATTGTAAATATCAAAATCAATTATTATTATTATGTTAGCCATTTATATTGTAAGCGTAAGTCAAGACTTAATAGTGCACTTATTAATTATAAGGTGTTAATTGTGATACTTTTATTATTTAAAAAAATGTCTACACTAAATCTCTTTGATTTTCTGCTATCTATCGAAATAATCTATAAAGAAACAAATCGCAAGATTTTATTGAATCAATTTTTTTGGTTTATATTAGTTGTTCTATTATCGGAATTAGCACCAATAAAAACATTATTATGAATTATATTTTGTTGCTACTACTAAGCGTGTATACAATGTTATATATTAAGAGTTACACATTTCATATATTTTTAGCATTTGTTAAGACGTAAGTTATATAATGAACTATATTTTAAGCATTTACTGTTTTTGGTTAAAATGTAATAACCGATGAATTGTGATATTTATGGATTTTATTTATCGACGTTGAGTTTGTTAAGTGTTGAACACACAAATTCTAATACTAAATATAAATTTGCTTTAAAGATTAATTTTGACGTATTTGATTGATTTGTTGCGTTTCTATTTCAGTGTTCTCAAAGTACTGGTTTTGTAATGCAACAAAGTGTCGCAAAAATAAAAAAAAGGGTGCGTGTAACTTATGTAGGTACGCGCGTAAGAAGTTATACTTCTTTGGCATTATTAAAAATAGTTTTTGATTGCATGCAAATAATTAATTACAATTAAATAATCAAAGACTGGAAAAGGAGTCATTATAGTCAATAAAGTTCAGTTTACATTTGAAAAATTAAATAAATAAATATTTATTATTATTCTCTTACATTAAAGTGTAACATAAATTCTATTATTATTCGAATGTTGTTTCTAAATTATGTCCAATGCCGTAGCATCTTCCGTGGGCAACTTCATTCTGTTAATTTTGTGTCATGGTGCGCGCGCATCGTAAAATTTCACTCTCATCAGTTTTTCATAACGCGCCTAAAGAAGTATAACTTCAATAAAAAGATTATGTATCTATAAATTAAATCTTTTGATCATTGATATCGCTATGGCTGCGTGATAGACATTGGAATGCAGGTGTGTATCAAAAATAATGTTATATTGACATCACGTTTTAATTATACATATGTGCCATAAATGTTATGTACAATCACACAATATTTATATTTAAAATCGACTGTATTTGGAGTGGTTACCAGGTTTTATTGCGATGTTACAATTATATTATGAATATATCTCGTTCACTCTAATAAAGATTTATAAATGAAGCACGATGTTTAATTGTTTCCGCCTTACATAATATACTTAGAAATTTGCAAAACAAGCTTTGGCCAATATACATATAGCAATGTATGAAACACTAGCAATGCAGTGCGGATTCACTCGCATATATACCAATCTCGTGGTATTGCAAAGTCTACTAATTTTAATTTCAGATTATTATATACACACATTTATAATCTAATCAATATACAGATTTAACTTTACAACGAATATATATCTAGTAGAATACGTAGAATATCCGAAATCTTGATTCTAAAAGTTCTTGATTTCAAGTAGGAAATGAAATATTTTTTTAATCAGTCCAGGAATTTTTAGCTTGATTTGAAAATTGTTAAAAATAAAAACAAGAATTCAAAAAATAATATCATGTTTTGGAGTTCCGACCCGGGACAGGCCAACATACAATTGCCCATTGGTAAAACATTATTTTTGTAAATATTGTTGTAGAATGTAGTATATTATACGTTCTATAATACTGTACAACAATGTTTTTGTTCTATCATCAATAGTTTCCACAGTGCACGCGATGATAATTTTTTTATGAATAATTTTTTCACACCATTGATTATATTATTGCAATGATTTTATATTGAAAGTAGCCTATGTCAGTCAGTGAAGGTGCAGCTTTCTAATAGTGAAAGAATTTTTGAAATCGGTTCAGTAGTTTTTGTGTGAAAACATTATAAACATACATATAAAAACAAAAATGTTTCCTCTTTAAAATAATAGTACAGATTAGTATATACGTAGTTGGTCCCAAAGTTCTGTCACTAGCACATTATTTCTACATTTCGAGCAGGATTTTATAAAAAAATTATTGCATTCTATTTTGGAATGTTTGATTATTGTTTTAAAACAAAAAACAATAACTTTCCGTAATTTTTCACGATGGAGTGGACATTGAAAGTAAAACCGAATAGTTGTTATTGCGTTGCACCGCTGTGGACACTCGCCGAGTACCATTTTCAAGTTGCTCAAAAATTTGAATATAACGCTTAGGTTTGTGTACGGTACTATTGATAGGTACCTTGAAGTCTCCAGTGTTGAGGACAAGAAAAGAACTGGCTGGCCACGCTCCGCAAGAACACCAGCAGTAATCAAAGCTATCAAGGCGCGGATAGTAAGAAATCCTGTCCGAAAACAGAAGTTGATGGATTTGCAGATGGGTGTCAGTAGGAAAACAGTAAAAAAGGTTTTAAATGAAGATCTTGGTCTACGAGCATACAAAAAAGGAGTGGGCACTTACTTAATGCTCGTCTAAAAGCAATAAGGCTTAAGATATCGCGGGTGTTGTTTAAGCGGTACGCGAAAAACCGACACCGTGATATCCTCTTTACGGACGAAAAATTTTTCGATATTGAAGAGAAGTACAATAAACAGAATTATACAGTGTACGCTAGGAGTTCTGAAGAAGCTGAAAATAAAGTTCCAAGGGACATCATCCATCATCAGTAATGGTTTGGTTGGGAGTGTCCTATTACGGGCTAACTGAGGTTAATTTTTTCGAAAAGGGGGTCAAAACCAGTGCTACAGTGTACCAAGAGACGGTTTTGTATCGCCTTGTCAAAGACATGTCCAGCACCCTATTTGCGGGACATCACTTCGTGTTCCAGCAGGACTCTGCGTCTGCATACAAAGCCAAGACCACTAAAGCCTGGTTTGAGCGTCAAAACATCGTCTTAATTAGACATGAGGATTGGCCTTCCTCCAGTCCGGACCTTAATCCTTTGGACCAGAAATTATGACAGGGCTTAGAGAGGAAGGTCTGTGATAAACCTCATGAAAATTTGGAGAATCTGAAGTCATCTTTAAAAAAACCAGTGACTGAAATCGACACGAATATGGTGCGTGCTGCGATAGACGACTGGCCGCGACGCTTAAGGGCCTGTATTAAAAATGAGGGAGGTTATTTCGAATATTTTTATGCTTTTTTTATTCCTTAATTAATGTACTAAGAATTGATATATCACTCATTACAAACTGATCAGTACTTTTGTTTTTATCATTATTTCCATTTATGACAGAACTTTGGGACCGACTACGTATACCTAATAGAATAAGCATTCTAGGTAAGTGAATACTAACTTTAGGTATACAATATAAATCACATTAAATAATCTATGAAAGAGGAAGAACACAAGTTTAGTGCAGAATTGGTAAAATATTAGAAGAGAATGTTTAATATTCAGATCTGGTTCCTGATAAATAGATTCTCGACATAATATATATCATTTTAATTCATGGCTTAACAATCGAATTAATGTATGGCAAATTCATTTTTAGTTTTTCTTATATTTAAATAACATAATATTCAAATTACAGACATTCTAAAATACTTTGAAATTTTTATAAAAAAAAACTTAAAATCGTGTCTAGCACATAGTTTGCAATGTGAAAAATGTGTGGCAATAAAAAAAGTATGTCAGGTAGACTTATTTAAAAACTAAAAATTTAAAATTACGCTTCTTAAAATGCTTTTAAAATCCAGGATTATTACCTGGACAGATAGGATGCGCACTAATGAACGCAACCGCTACCGCCAGCCAGATTGCCCAGACTCTAACCGAAAGTGCAAGAAGGAAGACATATCACAAAATCAGCTGACCTGAAATTCTTTCTCGAAAACGTTGCTACCTCCCGTACTATAAGATAAAACGTCAAAAAGATTATGGAAACGGTAAACAGTTAACAGTGGCTACTAAATTATTAATCTCTTGATAACTCATAGTGAAGTTCGTGCGTTTGTAAAACATAGGTAAGTAGGTTCTATATAAAAAAAGCAACCATGGCGCGTAACGGAAAAATGTGACGCGTAACGCAAAAATGTTACACTAAATTTTTTTCCAACCCCGATAAAGAAGTTTCACTTCAAAAATATATTTTTACTTCCACTATAAACTATCGAGTATCGACTGTTGAAGCATTTTGTATTTAATATTCAGTCAAGTGTCTTTATGAAAACTACAATAAAATGTAGTGTAGGTAATTTTTTTGTTCTAGTACTATCAACAATGCAATAAATAAAATACCTACCTAGTTATGTGTTGATGGTTTATAATATACCTACATAATATTGTAATTGACTAAATACTATAATTATTGTTGATTTACTAAAAAAATATAAATAAGTAAATTATAAAATATAATTGTAAATAATAATAGTAGGTAGGTAGGAAGGTTGAAATATTTATCGTCTGAATCTTGTTGGTAGTTGGTGCCCGGCATAGAACAAGAGCCGGACAGACGGTTGTAGTTTGACCTTCACAAGGTGACCGATATCGCTCCCGCAGTCAGACTGTACGCGACAGCTGATCAGTTGTGTGTTGTGTTAAAAGAAAGTAAACGTAATAATGAGCGTACAATCGGACTCGGAGAAACGAAAGCAAATATCCGTCCGCGGAATTGTTGCTGTAGAAAATGTTACCGAAGTGAAGAAGGCATTTAACCGGCATGTGCATTACACTCTTGTTAAAGACCGGAATGTTGCGACACCAAGAGATTACTACTTCGCTTTGGCTCACACTGTCAGAGATCATCTGGTTTCCCGGTGGATTCGCACCCAACAATATTACTATGAAAAGGATCCAAAAGTATGTGATTATTATTCCTATTACTTTAAGAAACCAGTTGTAAATTAATATTAAAAATAACTTGACTTTTGAGTTATTTGAAATATATAATTTGGTTATATTATGGTAAGTGTAATATAACCAATTCTAATATACTATAAATATTTCTCTCTTCTACATAATATGTATTTTATGTATTATGTTATTTGTTCTCACATGAGATTATTTCCAGCGAGTTTACTACCTCTCATTGGAGTATTATATGGGACGATCCCTTCAGAATACAATGATTAACCTGGGTATTCAAGGAACTGTTGATGAAGCTCTGTATCAGATTGGATTGGATATTGAGGAACTAGAAGAGTTGGAAGAAGATGCAGGGCTTGGAAATGGAGGTCTTGGTCGTTTAGCTGCTTGTTTCCTCGACTCAATGGCTACACTTGGCCTAGCAGCCTATGGATATGGTATGATTATCTTATCTGTGTCATTCACCTCTAAATGTTTATTTTAAATTTTAAATAATAATTTCATTCAGATATATCAACACGCAAATAACTAAAGAAACTTTCTATACTACTTTTATTTTATTTAGTTGTAGGTATAACTACTTGTACATAATAAGAACAGTATTATACTAAAGTAACCTTATATGATTAACTTTATAGATCTATTTTCAATTCCGCAGTTTTATTTTATTTACTACACTTTTAAAAATACACAGCTGTGGGTATATAGTTTACTTTTAATGATTACAGAATGATTAAAAGTTTCTTAGAAAGTGATACTAGAAAAAGAAAATTACATTAAATATACTTTAAATTTTAAAATACAAGCATAGAACTGCAACATTTAATGTTTACAATTGATACCAATTTTATACACTAATTGACAGAATGGTGTTGGCGAGACTCCAATTATAAATATGTACACCAAATAATTGCCAGGAATGGTGAAACATTGTTATAAATACTTCTTTTAACAGAAAACTATATTTTTAACCAAACATTTGTAAGTGTATGTTTGGAGTCCTGTCCAAAGAGGCAAAGGGTTCATGTTTTTGCACCTCATTTGCTTTATTCATAATGTTTTGAAAAGCAAGAAGACCTGTGTTTTTTCTAAAAATGTCCATTGGGAGTTATTAAATCAATGCAATTATTTTAATATTACTATAATGATGAAAATATGTACTGTATTATTATAAAAAATGACTCTCATATATGTAATAATTGGAGTGTAAATCTCAGAAGGTGACTCACAAAAAGAAATATTTATTAATAAAGATTTTTATTGCTATTAAATTGGGGTCAAATGTTAAAGGAACTTTGGTAACAAATTTGTTTGTATGTGTTGAAACATACATTATTTTATCAAATTAAAATTCGTGAATGCAAGTAAAGAAAATAAAGACTTTTCAAATGTACCAGAGTAAAAGCAAACAATTTTTTTATAGGTATAAGGTATGAGTATGGTATTTTTGCGCAAAAAATTGAGAATGGAGAACAGCAAGAAGAACCAGACGATTGGCTGAGGTATGGAAACCCATGGGAGAAGGCCAGACCAGAATTTATGATTCCTGTTAATTTCTATGGGCGGGTTGCTGATACTCCTCAAGGCAAGAAGTGGGTGGACACGCAGGTGAGTTTACTTAAGTGATTCTATTAATAAAATAATTTCCGATCATATTACAATTACATCCAGTAAGACTTAAATAGTCATCCAAGCATAATCTTAAGTTGTAAAACTTTTATTTGGAAACTCATTATATTTATGTTTATTTTAAAAAAATATTATTTTTCAAGTTTCAAACGTAGTTTAAATTTGAAACTTTAAAATAAAAATTTCTAGTAGGAATTTCACTTTTTAGTCAATGATATAAAGGTATAGATATTTTTTTTATAATAAAAGAAAAAAATAATAATGTAGGGACTGATTTGAAAATACGAATAAAATTAAACGACGCAAAGATATGTTAACATAAATTCTGCAGGAAAGGTGATTAACGTTATACGAAAATAAACTGCATCGTCCTTAATATGACCTTAAGGTACCCTTGGAGATCGTTTCATTAATAAAGATAACCCTCTATTCGTTGTGACTTGTGGGACACTTTTGTAGGTATTGTCCAGCGTGTGACATCTCTAAGTCATTGACCTCGCGCGTTTTTACACTAAATTATACCTTCTGAAATATGGATTGCCAAAAATTCTAAGACTTTGTAAACTTAGTAACAATACTACTGTTCGTTTTATATGTTTGGTTAACATAATTGGGCCATTTCTCAGGCATTTTATTTTTAAATAATATTTGCGTGGTAACAATGTTTCTCTTTAACTCTTCACTTGCTCTCAATCAATTTAGCAAGCGTTTTAAGAAATTATTCAATTTACGATCGGGCGAAGACACTATCTGCCCGTATTCATAAAAATAAGTTTCACTGCTATTCGTATTATTATCTATACTTAATATTATGTAGACAGTAGAGGTTAAACTTAAAGTTTGTAAGGTGTAGGGGTTATGGTCTGGATGTTATGATCCGATGTTGTGAGTTCATAGACACACGAAAAAAGGTTCGTGGTGGATTTGCAAAGTAAGTCGGTGTAAAAACAAACGAAAATGCTTCTTACGAACGTTCCCTTCGATGACAGATTGAATTGAGTTCTAGAGAAAATTTAAGAGCTTGATAATGCCTACAGCAATTAAGCGATATCATATGTCTTATTTTTATATTATATAGAAAAAAGTACTCTCTTTATTTGTTCGCGATAAACTCAAAAACAGAATAATTACGGGTTTCACAAATATCTAGAATGCCCCGTAGCGGAGGCGCGTGGCTAGCTAGTACTCGATATTTTGCTATTTTGTGGCCTACCGAAACTTGATATACCTTTGCGATTTCACTCAACCTTATACTACGAAACTGGTATTAGTTAATATATTGGACTTATTTTTTATTATAATTATAGAGTTGAATTCCTTAACATACCGTAAAAGTGCTTTGTATTGTGGGTACTACGATACGGCAACTTCGTAAATAGTGTTTTAAAATTCATGTCGATTTCTATTTTAATTAATTAAAGGTAGACTTTAGTGCTATCCGCTTATGTATCATCTTTTTTAATACTTATTAAAACCATTAAGTTTATTTTATTTTACGAAAATGACAATACGCAGGGTGATATTGTGACCTGTATCTGTGCAATAGTGGCAATCGGTTGTTATGACAATATCACTGTAGTTTATGGTTGTTTAAAGAGGGTCAAATGTCATCTTTTACTTCCTAGGTCGTGTTTGCTATGCCGTATGACAACCCGATCCCGGGTTACAATAACAATGTCGTCAACACGCTGCGGTTGTGGTCAGCTAAGAGCCCCGTGGACTTCAATCTAAAATTCTGTTAGTATATGCTTTTTACTGAATATGATAATACTTTAATAATATATTACTAGTCTGTGACAGAGAATTATTAAGTGCAACCTTTTTTGTTATGTTGAAGAGAAAAAAAAATGTATAATTTTCAAATAGGAATTATATTAGTTCGCATAACTGCCACGGTTTTCTTTCTACTGATCCAGAAAAAATAACATTATATTAAATTACAATCAAATATGTCTGTTGTCAATCAATGAGAAATAGAAATCTATTTTGCTTTTTATCTTCATGCTACGTAAATCCAATCTCCTACAGACATTTCTTAATAGAAGGGTTTGATTACACATTAAAATATAATGAGACTTATTGATAATCGTTTTAATTACTATTTTCTTCTCAAAACATATTTATCTAAAATTTATAAATAGTTATTGTTATCAATAAAACACATTTGGACCATATGAATATATATTTCAGTTAACTCCGGTGACTACATTCAAGCCGTACTAGATCGTAACGTTGCAGAGAACATTTCGCGTGTATTGTATCCGAATGACAACTTTTTTGAAGGAAAGGAACTCAGACTCCGTCAAGAGTATTTCATGTGCGCCGCTACTCTACAGGACATCATTAGGCGTTACAAAGCCTCCAGATTTGGTAGTCGTAAGGCTGTCAGAACTACATTCGAATGCCTTCCAGAAAAAGTCGCGATTCAGCTGAATGACACCCATCCGGCTTTAGCAATTCCAGAGTTACTGCGCATTTTACTCGATATTGAGAAAGTTCCGTATGATGAGGCCTGGAAACTTGTCAACCAATGTTGCGCCTACACCAACCATACCGTTCTCCCAGAGGCTTTGGAGAGATGGCCCTGCTCAATGTTAGAAAACTGTCTCCCCAGACACATGGAACTCATATATCACATTAACTTCTTGCACCTTAAAGAGGTCGAGAAACGCTGGCCTGGAGATATGGACCGCATGCGTCGTATGTCTCTTATTGAAGAAGAAGGTGAAAAGAGAGTGAACATGGCCCATCTATGTGTGGTCGGTGCACACGCTGTCAACGGCGTTGCCGCCATTCATTCAGATATCCTGAAGGCAACCATCTTCCGCGACTTCTACGAAATGTGGCCAGAAAAATTCCAAAACAAGACAAACGGAATCACCCCACGGCGTTGGCTGTTGCTATGCAACCCTGGCCTATCTGATCTGATATCCGATAAGATCGGCGAAGAATGGACCGTCCACCTCGACCAATTGAAGGGTTTGAAGCGGTGGTCGAAGGACGCCGGCTTCCAGCGTGCAGTGATGAAGGTGAAGCAAGAAAATAAGCTTAGATTAGCGTCCCTGATCGAAAGAGATACGGGTGTGAAAATTAACCCAGCTTCGATGTTTGACGTCCAAGTGAAACGTATTCACGAGTACAAGAGGCAATTGTTGAACATTTTGCACGTGATTGTAATGTACAACCGTATAAAACGTGACCCCACTGCCCCAATCGCCCCAAGAACAGTTATGATCGGTGGTAAAGCCGCACCAGGTTACTTTATCGCTAAGCAAATCATCGCTCTGGCCTGCGCTGTAGGGGATACTGTAAGTATCAACTTAAGTTTAAACTGTAATTTGAACGTGTTATAATTATAATTGATTATGTATTAGGATAGTCAAGTGTATGAGATTCTATCTTCTCTCTGTGTTCGACATTATATGATTTATAATATTTTTTGGTTTTTTTTTTTTTTTTTTTTTTTGTTTTGGGGGGGGGGGGGGGGGGGGGGGGGGGGGGGGGGGGGGGGGGGGGGGGGGGGGGGGGGGGGGGGGGGGGGGGGGGGGGGGGGGGGGGGGGGGGGGGGGGGGGGGGGGGGGGGGGGGGGGGGGGGGGGGGGGGGGGGGGGGGGGGGGGGGGGGGGGGGGGGGGGGGGGGGGGGGGGGGGGGGGGGGGGGGGGGGGGGGGGGGGGGGGGGGGGGGGGGGGGGGGGGGGGGGGGGGGGGGGGGGGGGGGGGGGGGGGGGGGGGGGGGGGGGGGGGGGGGGGGGGGGGGGGGGGGGGGGGGGGGGGGGGGGGGGGGGGGGGGGGGGGGGGGGGGGGGGGGGGGGGGGGGGGGGGGGGGGGGGGGGGGGGGGGGGGGGGGGGGGGGGGGGGGGGGGGGGGGGGGGGGGGGGGGGGGGGGGGGGGGGGGGGGGGGGGGGGGGGGGGGGGGGGGGGGGGGGGGGGGGGGGGGGGGGGGGGGGGGGGGGGGGGGGGGGGGGGGGGGGGGGGGGGGGGGGGGGGGGGGGGGGGGGGGGGGGGGGGGGGGGGGGGGGGGGGGGGGGGGGGGGGGGGGGGGGGGGGGGGGGGGGGGGGGGGGGGGGGGGGGGGGGGGGGGGGGGGGGGGGGGGGGGGGGGGGGGGGGGGGGGGGGGGGGGGGGGGGGGGGGGGGGGGGGGGGGGGGGGGGGGGGGGGGGGGGGGGGGGGGGGGGGGGGGGGGGGGGGGGGGGGGGGGGGGGGGGGGGGGGGGGGGGGGGGGGGGGGGGGGGGGGGGGGGGGGGGGGGGGGGGGGGGGGGGGGGGGGGGGGGGGGGGGGGGGGGGGGGGGGGGGGGGGGGGGGGGGGGGGGGGGGGGGGGGGGGGGGGGGGGGGGGGGGGGGGGGGGGGGGGGGGGGGGGGGGGGGGGGGGGGGGGGGGGGGGGGGGGGGGGGGGGGGGGGGGGGGGGGGGGGGGGGGGGGGGGGGGGGGGGGGGGGGGGGGGGGGGGGGGGGGGGGGGGGGGGGGGGGGGGGGGGGGGGGGGGGGGGGGGGGGGGGGGGGGGGGGGGGGGGGGGGGGGGGGGGGGGGGGGGGGGGGGGGGGGGGGGGGGGGGGGGGGGGGGGGGGGGGGGGGGGGGGGGGGGGGGGGGGGGGGGGGGGGGGGGGGGGGGGGGGGGGGGGGGGGGGGGGGGGGGGGGGGGGGGGGGGGGGGGGGGGGGGGGGGGGGGGGGGGGGGGGGGGGGGGGGGGGGGGGGGGGGGGGGGGGGGGGGGGGGGGGGGGGGGGGGGGGGGGGGGGGGGGGGGGGGGGGGGGGGGGGGGGGGGGGGGGGGGGGGGGGGGGGGGGGGGGGGGGGGGGGGGGGGGGGGGGGGGGGGGGGGGGGGGGGGGGGGGGGGGGGGGGGGGGGGGGGGGGGGGGGGGGGGGGGGGGGGGGGGGGGGGGGGGGGGGGGGGGGGGGGGGGGGGGGGGGGGGGGGGGGGGGGGGGGGGGGGGGGGGGGGGGGGGGGGGGGGGGGGGGGGGGGGGGGGGGGGGGGGGGGGGGGGGGGGGGGGGGGGGGGGGGGGGGGGGGGGGGGGGGGGGGGGGGGGGGGGGGGGGGGGGGGGGGGGGGGGGGGGGGGGGGGGGGGGGGGGGGGGGGGGGGGGGGGGGGGGGGGGGGGGGGGGGGGGGGGGGGGGGGGGGGGGGGGGGGGGGGGGGGGGGGGGGGGGGGGGGGGGGGGGGGGGGGGGGGGGGGGGGGGGGGGGGGGGGGGGGGGGGGGGGGGGGGGGGGGGGGGGGGGGGGGGGGGGGGGGGGGGGGGGGGGGGGGGGGGGGGGGGGGGGGGGGGGGGGGGGGGGGGGGGGGGGGGGGGGGGGGGGGGGGGGGGGGGGGGGGGGGGGGGGGGGGGGGGGGGGGGGGGGGGGGGGGGGGGGGGGGGGGGGGGGGGGGGGGGGGGGGGGGGGGGGGGGGGGGGGGGGGGGGGGGGGGGGGGGGGGGGGGGGGGGGGGGGGGGGGGGGGGGGGGGGGGGGGGGGGGGGGGGGGGGGGGGGGGGGGGGGGGGGGGGGGGGGGGGGGGGGGGGGGGGGGGGGGGGGGGGGGGGGGGGGGGGGGGGGGGGGGGGGGGGGGGGGGGGGGGGGGGGGGGGGGGGGGGGGGGGGGGGGGGGGGGGGGGGGGGGGGGGGGGGGGGGGGGGGGGGGGGGGGGGGGGGGGGGGGGGGGGGGGGGGGGGGGGGGGGGGGGGGGGGGGGGGGGGGGGGGGGGGGGGGGGGGGGGGGGGGGGGGGGGGGGGGGGGGGGGGGGGGGGGGGGGGGGGGGGGGGGGGGGGGGGGGGGGGGGGGGGGGGGGGGGGGGGGGGGGGGGGGGGGGGGGGGGGGGGGGGGGGGGGGGGGGGGGGGGGGGGGGGGGGGGGGGGGGGGGGGGGGGGGGGGGGGGGGGGGGGGGGGGGGGGGGGGGGGGGGGGGGGGGGGGGGGGGGGGGGGGGGGGGGGGGGGGGGGGGGGGGGGGGGGGGGGGGGGGGGGGGGGGGGGGGGGGGGGGGGGGGGGGGGGGGGGGGGGGGGGGGGGGGGGGGGGGGGGGGGGGGGGGGGGGGGGGGGGGGGGGGGGGGGGGGGGGGGGGGGGGGGGGGGGGGGGGGGGGGGGGGGGGGGGGGGGGGGGGGGGGGGGGGGGGGGGGGGGGGGGGGGGGGGGGGGGGGGGGGGGGGGGGGGGGGGGGGGGGGGGGGGGGGGGGGGGGGGGGGGGGGGGGGGGGGGGGGGGGGGGGGGGGGGGGGGGGGGGGGGGGGGGGGGGGGGGGGGGGGGGGGGGGGGGGGGGGGGGGGGGGGGGGGGGGGGGGGGGGGGGGGGGGGGGGGGGGGGGGGGGGGGGGGGGGGGGGGGGGGGGGGGGGGGGGGGGGGGGGGGGGGGGGGGGGGGGGGGGGGGGGGGGGGGGGGGGGGGGGGGGGGGGGGGGGGGGGGGGGGGGGGGGGGGGGGGGGGGGGGGGGGGGGGGGGGGGGGGGGGGGGGGGGGGGGGGGGGGGGGGGGGGGGGGGGGGGGGGGGGGGGGGGGGGGGGGGGGGGGGGGGGGGGGGGGGGGGGGGGGGGGGGGGGGGGGGGGGGGGGGGGGGGGGGGGGGGGGGGGGGGGGGGGGGGGGGGGGGGGGGGGGGGGGGGGGGGGGGGGGGGGGGGGGGGGGGGGGGGGGGGGGGGGGGGGGGGGGGGGGGGGGGGGGGGGGGGGGGGGGGGGGGGGGGGGGGGGGGGGGGGGGGGGGGGGGGGGGGGGGGGGGGGGGGGGGGGGGGGGGGGGGGGGGGGGGGGGGGGGGGGGGGGGGGGGGGGGGGGGGGGGGGGGGGGGGGGGGGGGGGGGGGGGGGGGGGGGGGGGGGGGGGGGGGGGGGGGGGGGGGGGGGGGGGGGGGGGGGGGGGGGGGGGGGGGGGGGGGGGGGGGGGGGGGGGGGGGGGGGGGGGGGGGGGGGGGGGGGGGGGGGGGGGGGGGGGGGGGGGGGGGGGGGGGGGGGGGGGGGGGGGGGGGGGGGGGGGGGGGGGGGGGGGGGGGGGGGGGGGGGGGGGGGGGGGGGGGGGGGGGGGGGGGGGGGGGGGGGGGGGGGGGGGGGGGGGGGGGGGGGGGGGGGGGGGGGGGGGGGGGGGGGGGGGGGGGGGGGGGGGGGGGGGGGGGGGGGGGGGGGGGGGGGGGGGGGGGGGGGGGGGGGGGGGGGGGGGGGGGGGGGGGGGGGGGGGGGGGGGGGGGGGGGGGGGGGGGGGGGGGGGGGGGGGGGGGGGGGGGGGGGGGGGGGGGGGGGGGGGGGGGGGGGGGGGGGGGGGGGGGGGGGGGGGGGGGGGGGGGGGGGGGGGGGGGGGGGGGGGGGGGGGGGGGGGGGGGGGGGGGGGGGGGGGGGGGGGGGGGGGGGGGGGGGGGGGGGGGGGGGGGGGGGGGGGGGGGGGGGGGGGGGGGGGGGGGGGGGGGGGGGGGGGGGGGGGGGGGGGGGGGGGGGGGGGGGGGGGGGGGGGGGGGGGGGGGGGGGGGGGGGGGGGGGGGGGGGGGGGGGGGGGGGGGGGGGGGGGGGGGGGGGGGGGGGGGGGGGGGGGGGGGGGGGGGGGGGGGGGGGGGGGGGGGGGGGGGGGGGGGGGGGGGGGGGGGGGGGGGGGGGGGGGGGGGGGGGGGGGGGGGGGGGGGGGGGGGGGGGGGGGGGGGGGGGGGGGGGGGGGGGGGGGGGGGGGGGGGGGGGGGGGGGGGGGGGGGGGGGGGGGGGGGGGGGGGGGGGGGGGGGGGGGGGGGGGGGGGGGGGGGGGGGGGGGGGGGGGGGGGGGGGGGGGGGGGGGGGGGGGGGGGGGGGGGGGGGGGGGGGGGGGGGGGGGGGGGGGGGGGGGGGGGGGGGGGGGGGGGGGGGGGGGGGGGGGGGGGGGGGGGGGGGGGGGGGGGGGGGGGGGGGGGGGGGGGGGGGGGGGGGGGGGGGGGGGGGGGGGGGGGGGGGGGGGGGGGGGGGGGGGGGGGGGGGGGGGGGGGGGGGGGGGGGGGGGGGGGGGGGGGGGGGGGGGGGGGGGGGGGGGGGGGGGGGGGGGGGGGGGGGGGGGGGGGGGGGGGGGGGGGGGGGGGGGGGGGGGGGGGGGGGGGGGGGGGGGGGGGGGGGGGGGGGGGGGGGGGGGGGGGGGGGGGGGGGGGGGGGGGGGGGGGGGGGGGGGGGGGGGGGGGGGGGGGGGGGGGGGGGGGGGGGGGGGGGGGGGGGGGGGGGGGGGGGGGGGGGGGGGGGGGGGGGGGGGGGGGGGGGGGGGGGGGGGGGGGGGGGGGGGGGGGGGGGGGGGGGGGGGGGGGGGGGGGGGGGGGGGGGGGGGGGGGGGGGGGGGGGGGGGGGGGGGGGGGGGGGGGGGGGGGGGGGGGGGGGGGGGGGGGGGGGGGGGGGGGGGGGGGGGGGGGGGGGGGGGGGGGGGGGGGGGGGGGGGGGGGGGGGGGGGGGGGGGGGGGGGGGGGGGGGGGGGGGGGGGGGGGGGGGGGGGGGGGGGGGGGGGGGGGGGGGGGGGGGGGGGGGGGGGGGGGGGGGGGGGGGGGGGGGGGGGGGGGGGGGGGGGGGGGGGGGGGGGGGGGGGGGGGGGGGGGGGGGGGGGGGGGGGGGGGGGGGGGAAAGGGGGGGGGGGGGGGGGGGGGGGCGGGGGGGGGGGGGGGGGGGGGGGGGGGGGGGGCGCCGGGGGGGGGGGGGGGGGGGGGGGGGGGGGGGGGGGGGGGGGGGGGGGGGGGGGGGGGGGGGGGGGGGGGGGGGGGGGGGGGGGGGGGGGGGGGGGGGGGGGGGGGGGGGGGGGGGGGGGGGGGGGGGGGGGGGGGGGGGGGGGGGGGGGGGGGGGGGGGGGGGGGGGGGGGGGGGGGGGGGGGGGGGGGGGGGGGGGGGGGGGGGGGGGGGGGGGGGGGGGGGGGGGGGGGGGGGGGGGGGGGGGGGGGGGGGGGGGGGGGGGGGGGGGGGGGGGGGGGGGGGGGGGGGGGGGGGGGGGGGGGGGGGGGGGGGGGGGGGGGGGGGGGGGGGGGGGGGGGGGGGGGGGGGGGGGGGGGGGGGGGGGGGGGGGGGGGGGGGGGGGGGGGGGGGGGGGGGGGGGGGGGGGGGGGGGGGGGGGGGGGGGGGGGGGGGGGGGGGGGGGGGGGGGGGGGGGGGGGGGGGGGGGGGGGGGGGGGGGGGGGGGGGGGGGGGGGGGGGGGGGGGGGGGGGGGGGGGGGGGGGGGGGGGGGGGGGGGGGGGGGGGGGGGGGGGGGGGGGGGGGGGGGGGGGGGGGGGGGGGGGGGGGGGGGGGGGGGGGGGGGGGGCGGCGGGGGGGGGGGGGGGGGCGCGGGGGGGGGGGGGGGGGGGGGGGGGGGGGGGGGGGGGGGGGGGGGGGGGGGGGGGGGGGGGGGGGGGGGGGGGGGGGGGGGGGGGGGGGGGGGGGGGGGGGGGGGGGGGGGGGGGGGGGGGGGGGGGGGGGGGGGGGGGGGGGGGGGGGGGGGTTTTGGGGGGGGGGGGGGGGGGGGGGGGGGGGGGGGGGAAAATTATTTGGGGGGGGGAAAAAAGGGGGGGGGTTGAGGGGGAAAAAAACGGGGGGAAAATTGGGGGGTTTTTTTTGGGTTTCCGAGCTCGTAACAATATTTATATGATAAAGTATTTACAATATTCTTAACATTATAGTTATAATAATGATAATTAAACTTATGAATAGAAAACTAAATAATACAAAATAAAATACTGCGCCATATTTTCTACCATCCAGCAACGTTAAAAGCGAAGTATTTCATCAAAAAACCTTAACAAAATAGGCATTAAATTAGCTAGAAATCCAACTTAGTGGGGCCTTAATTTATTTGTAGGTTAACAACGACCCCGATGTAGGTGACAAGTTAAAGCTGATCTTCTTAGAGAACTACCGAGTCACCCTGGCTGAGCGTATAATGCCAGCAGCCGATCTGAGCGAACAGATCTCGACCGCTGGTACTGAAGCTTCCGGAACCGGGAACATGAAGTTCATGCTTAACGGAGCATTGACTATTGGCACTATGGATGGAGCTAATGTGGAAATGGCAGAGGAAGCTGGAGAACAGAACTTGTTCATATTCGGCATGAGGGTGGACGATGTTGAAGCTCTGCAGAAGCGAGGGTAAGTTTTGATTAAGTTAAGATAAGGATGTTGTTAAATTTACATTCAAAAATACCCTCACTTGTTTTGTGCCTACTACCCTCGTTTGTTGATTTTTTAAATGATCTTTAAAGTACTTAATTTAATCCCCTATATGTGATGAAAATTATAATGGAACCCGGGTTTTTTTTGCTTTTACAATATATATAGATCTGAATTTTTGAAAATAATGGGAAAATTGTTGTTGATGTTAAGAATTTTGAATATCTAAAAATTAAAAAAAAAACTGTTTCTAGATGGGAAATATTTGATGTCTTTTAACTTTTTAGAAATAAAAAATTGTCACTTGGTTGTCATATATCTACAGATGCCTTCAGAAATTTTTATTTAATAGGTGTAGTAGAAAGTACGATATCTTTGGTCCGTTTTAGAATTTTTGTATTAAGTTTTTAATGTGGTGAGGATAAACAGCCGTCTCACCTTTGCATTGACACGTGTGCAACATTATTCATTAAATATAACATTATTCTTAGATTACATTGCCTGTAGGAAATGTTTGTCTCAGTTATTAAACGCACCATTGTCACACATATACATATATATAAATTATTGTAATAGGTTAAATTTGGTGTTTTTTCTATTCCCTCCCTATAACGAAAACTCTGTATTACGAACAATGCTCGGTCCCGTTAAATTCGTTATAAAGAGATTACACTGTAGGAAGTGGAGGAAGGATGGTGTACTAACATCCTTTATTAGGTTGGAGGAGCTTTGGCCAGTCTAACCACTGACCCTATAATATTGCTTTATCGCATCAAGTAGGCATTCAAATAGTCTGAGTTAACTATTTTACCTACTCGATTGCTTAGGGACGGCTTCTCTATGAAAAAAATATTGTAGGTACAACGCGTACGAGTACTACGAGCGCAACCCAGAGCTACGTCAATGTATCGAACAGATCCGCAGCGGTTTCTTCACTCCTGGTGAACCTGGGAAGTTCCAGAATGTAGCTGATGTGCTACTCCATCATGACAGGTTCCTCCATCTTGCCGATTTTGATGATTACATCAAGGCCCAGGATAAGGTGTCCGCAGTTTATCAGGTATATTATTGGAATAATAGTTAATTACTAGACGATTTTTTGCAATATTAATAATTATTTAATTAGTAAATAATTATTAATATTGCAATCACTGAAGTGAAATTATTAATATTGCAATCGGGCAGAGTACCCCACAAGTATGTCCCACAAGTGCCATGTCGTTCTTCTTTTGTTTAAGAGCAATTTTTTTTAATGTGTGTTAAGTGCGCTAAGCTTAATTCATGTAGTGTGGAACGCTACGCATTGTGTAGTAACGCTAAATCCAAGCAAAGTGCAAACTTAAGGGCAGATATTATGTAGATAATATAATATGCTCCCATAAATTTTTGTATTTATTCTAGAGACCACTTTTCGCCTTTGGTGATCACATTCTTAAATTAGTTTATTACTGTCAGTATTAGTAATTTTTGTCACATTACTGTGATATTTATTCGATCTTCTATTGAATTTGGAGAATGGTTTCTAGGCTTAGAAGAAGAATGGGGACCTGTATAAAATCATATTAATATTATTAACGCGAAAGTTTGTAAGTATGGATGGATGTTTCTTACTCTTTCACATAAAAACTCCTGAATGGATTGTAATGAAACTTTATAATTATATAGCTTATACATTAGAATAACACATAGGCTACAATTTAAAGATATTGTGTAAATTGTCCAAAATATCAAGTAGGAAAAAATCTGCCATCTGCGAGCTATTCTGGCGTGCGCTGCCAAAACCGCTAGAGTTACGCATATGTATTGTATAATGGAAATGTTTATCTTAAATAGTCAATATCTTCAGTAGTTTTTATCTACGCCACGCTAATATAAGCTACTCGAAATACTAATCCTGCGCAGACGACGGAAGGCGCGGGCACCAGCTAGTTGCATATAAAATTCAAATTGCCCAACATACATGTATCGAACACATTGTTTTTACTAACATTTATAGACCTTTTTGTGCCTAAGAAATCAAGTTATAATTACAATTGTGTGTCGCCTTCATTCATCTAGGTAGACAACGTTGCTTAACAAATAATGATTTTTCAACAGAATCCATCAAAATGGGCGGAAATGGTGATCGAGAACATCGCCTCGTCTGGCAAGTTTTCTTCGGACCGCACCATTGCCGAATACGCAAGGGAAATTTGGGGTGTTGAACCCACTTGGGAAAAACTGCCCGCCCCGCATGAGGTTGCTTAAGAGAACCGTGGTCTGCTAAAATACAATTCACTGGTTGGTTGTATTTTTTTTAAATGTACTCAAAGTTAAGCGCAAATATAGATTTAGACGTTTTTAGCTAGATTTTATAAAAATTATATTTATTAATAAACGATTTTGGCGAATATATTCGAACACAACAACAAAATATATTTTGTAATAGACAAAATGTGAACGACTGCAAAATCAAATTTTTCCTTTACAGGTGCTTAAATATAGAAATTTATATTTTAACTATTTTATTACAAATTATAAATAATCATATTAATATATATAAGTTTATTAATCTTTGAAATAAAATTATGTATTTGTGAGATCTTATAAAATACTCTTAAGATGTCTTGTCGATGTGTTTAAACTATGGCAACAGAATTCAGAGACAATTAAGTGCTTAGATGAAGTATCTAGTAGAGTTGAGAAATAATAACTACAAAAGTGAGATAGCAATATATAGAAATGTGTTAGAGAAAACAAGATAAAGGATGTTGTCTTTGTTTTGGTTATGTGTATTTTGATGTTTGGCATCAGTTACTGAAGGCAGACAAATTGCGGTTTCGGCAACATTTGTGTTGATATAAATAAAATCCTTATTTGCTTTATTATTTGTGAAATTGTGTTATGAATTTATCCATATCAGTTGTGTTTATTAATAACTCATATCTAAATACGATATAATTAAATGCTTCCATGTAGCTCACGAACTCCCTCTTCGCGTCATGTACGATGTGCAAACTGTCAAATAACTTTGAATGTCAAGTCTTACGGCCATTTTGACACATGCTAGAGTTCGCGATTGTCTCTGAATTTTAAACTCTGAAGACCTATTAGAAAAATATGTAGTATAAAATTATAGATGTTTAATATATATTAAAAATGTTCTAAAGCTTGTCTAGAGAAGAAAAAGCAGCTATTCGTGTTCCTAATTTGTTGTAATTGAAAACTTCGTGCCATATTCATGAAAGTCAGAGTACAAATATTTTAATACAATACAATTTATTTATATATTAATTGATAATGTATCAGTATGTTATCCACTGCCGGAATTTTATAATTAATATAGTTATAAATCACTTTTTGTTACTATTTTTCATCTATATTAATAAATTTTATTCAATATTTTAGACTTATTTATTGTAATATGTCTTAATCCTGATGAACGAAGGAAAAATGAAAATCTAATTTAGTTATTGATTCAAATGAAATGCGTAATTAAACTCAATGTAAAGTTAGCCTTTAATTTTAATTCAATGAATCCTGTTTTTTAACGAATAATTTAATAAACAGGCATATACCAATACATGTACAAATTCTTAAAAGGCCGGCAACGCACTGGCAAGCCTTCTGGCAATGTGAGTGTCCATGGGAGGCGGTATCACTCAACATCAGATGAGCCTTCTGCCTGTTTTCCTCCTGTTACGTAAAACAATCCACGACAGTATCAGACATAAAAGGCTCATGATCTTGTGTAATAATTACACATTATATAAATATTAATTTGTCTTTAGTCCTATAACACCTCGTTATAAGGAAGACATTTCTGCTTTCACAAATTTATATATATAATGTTATCGCGACACAATTATTGTTTCGCCAGGAATCAAATCCAGGACCTTTGGGCAGGGTTAGCCATTAGACCACAGAGGCGTTACTTGTAATAGTGTGAAGTCGATCGTAAATCTCCTTTTGTAAGAACTAATGTAGCTTTAAATTAAAAGCGATCGTCCATTATTACGACCAATGTCAAAAGGATTTAATAAGTAGAAGTGCGTACTATACTTTTCTGAATGCAGACACTAACAATAAATATAATCCGCAACTTCAAGACCGAACACGCATTTTGCAGCGTCCTGCGTGCGCATTACATCCCCATATCCTGATCCTTGTAAATCGGAAGCTCTCGGCTAAATTCGGGCACATAAAAGGAGATATCCATATGTGCGAAAGAGACACGAAACTATCTGTCTCTTTTTGATGTCATCGGCCGTTCATAATCCTCTACTACAAAGTAATAAAATACTATTCGTTCATTCGGCGCTTAAACTTCGGACGAGACGGTGTTGCCGCTCGTCCTTTCGCGTGTGTTGTGGTGTATTGTGTTGTGGGTGCTACGGTGAGCCAAGGCTCGCGTCTCGCAGGTAAAAATCCTTTTATTTTTTAATAGAAAATTTGCCAATTTTTTTTAAGACCACATTTGCCAAAATGCCGGCTATTGCAGACCGCGCAAGTTCGATCGATAGCTATGTTGACTTGAGTAGGCCGCCTCGCTAAACCAGACTGTGATTTAATATTTAAGTACAATTGATAAATAGCACACATTTAATTGTTTATCAGCGATCTACGGTATTGCGATAAAATTGATAAACATTGCAAAAAAATTATAATCTTGCGGAAGCCGAACCGGACCGGCCACTTAGCCTTCAATTTATAACAATTATGTATTTACAAACAACTTTATATCTTATTATATTGAAATAAAAAACCTGTGAGGTTACACTCATCTGAGTAAGCAATGAGTCATTAATGACATAAACATACTTGCGTGTTATTTTTGCCGCAATATGTGAGGTCCTAAGGACTTGGTTAATTGGATGACCACGCCTCGGGAACTGGGGTTACAGTGGCAATAGGAACGTGTGCTAAAAATAGCGTTTTACGCTCTCCAAACTCATACCTATATGCTACGTGATTTTACTAGTATAACAAGTTTTCAAAGATCTCTATGCAAATTTATAGCTGACCTACGAGAGTATAGATAATTTTATTAATATTGTATTATTTAAAAGAAATTCACGAATATATACCTTAAAGGATTAAAATGCGCTTATTATAATTACGCACGGCTGAAACACCGTTCGTTAAAGCACACATCTTGTCGGTGTTATAATTGTTTAAAATAAATAATTGTTTATTGAGATAATGTGTATTTTTTGTTATAATTATATATATAACTAGTGGAGCCCACAGACGTTGTCCTGCATGATATTTAAAGCGATTAGGATATTAAGCAAAGTATGAAAGTACCGACTGCAGTGCCATCTGCCGGGCTGATTTGTGAATCTAAACCATTCCCAGATCCCCTTGAACACACACAAAAAATTTCATCAAAATCGGTCCAGTCGTTTGAGAGAAGTTCAGTCACATACACACGCACACAAGAAATATATATATTAAGATAAAGGGACTTGCTATATAAAAATAAATAATTATATACCTAGCTTAAATCTTCAGCAGTAAGCAAGAAAAATCAAAAATAATATATGCAGTGTAGGTTCGTGTCGTAAAACCATAAAGGATAAATATGTAGATAATACAATGATAAGTTATTAGGTACATATTAACAACCCTTTAATCTGATTATAAGTTTAAAATTATTAGAGGATTACAAAAATTCGTACAATTTAAATCAGTCATTTACCTCGGTACCTTCGAATACAAAGCACATGGCATGAATAGCCCATTCAAGGGCAGGTGCAAAACGAAAAGTGGTTTGAACAAGATTTTTTATAAAACCATCAGGTAGCTTGCTTTCATTCCTATTCTAAAGGATTTTTAGTATGGATGATTTATTAACTTTCTTAAGTTCATATACCTAAGCGTTTTCTAAATGTATTTATTTATGGAGTAAATATTATATATAACGATATTTTGGTGTACATTATATATAACGATAAAGATCACTGTTCGAGCAAGTGTTATTTCATGCAAGTAAATATAAAACAAAGGTAAAGTCATATAACACTGGCTAATTTCGAAAAAATATTTTAATTACAATAATACTTCACACAACAGTCTTGGTAGTGTAATATGTATTTGATAATTTTTATAATTTTTTTCCTTTCTTAAACGTTTGAACATTTTTATATGTATTATGTATTCCATCTTTACTTATATTATAATTAATCTTAGCTGTAGGAGTACGAAATAAGTAAATTACTATATATAGATAGGTATAATTTAAGACAGATTCAATATAATATAATATCAGATCCAAAATTAATAAGTTTTTGCATACCGACTTCTTCGCGCTGCGTCTCTAAACCGTATCCTTTCTGGCAGAGATCCTCCGAAAACCAAATATTTTATTCGAGCTGGAACACACAGGGCGTGACAACAACTTTCCTATAAAAAACAGACAGATGTGTCCCACACCACATTTGTGAGAACGATATGAAACTCGCTCTTATCTACTTAATTATGTATAAGAAAAGATTACACTCGACTGTAATCCTAGATCCTCCGTCCGGTACTTATGTCCGTAAATAGATCGCATCTATTCAGTAAAGATATCGAGTTTGCATATAAATTTCCTATAAATCAATAGAAACTAGGAATAAAGATAAAATTCAAGGTCTTGATAAATCATGCGGGTGCATGGTTTTTACCTGAACTCATAAGCTGTACAATGTTTAATTTAAAAATCGTAACATTACGTAAAATATGTTAATGAATTTATTGTGAAAATTTTTATAAGTATAAACTTAATCAATTATTGTGTGTGAGTGGCTTCAGCGTGCGACTCTCATCCCTGAGTTTGTAGGTTTGATCCCCGGCTGTGCACCAATGGATTTTCTTTTTATGTGCTCATTTAATATTCGCTCAAACGGTGAAGAAAAACATCGTGAGGTAACCGGCTTGCTTTCAACCCAAAAAGTCGACGGCATGTGTCAGGCACAGGAGGTTGATCACCTATTAGATTGGCAGACCTAAAAGCGCCACTAATTTTTTTAAAATAAATCTCAAGTACCTAATCAAAGTACTCTTTCGTCTAGGTATAAATTAGCTTTTTTTATCTGATTTAGAGATAGCCAATTATAATTAGTTCTAGTGGCGAAATTATCAAACTTGCTGATTCTTGTCTCGAGATATTTACAGTATTTTACGCATTGATTGTTTTACTATGATTGTTATTAATAGATGTATTCAAAATTCAGCGAATAGTCTATCCTATTATATTCGTATGCCTACATCCCAGACGAGTCGAT